CTTTATATATGCTTTACATAACTAAGGTCTATTAGTTTTTTATTATATTATAAAAGCTTCTTTTTTCTAGAGATAAATTTTAGTTTCTAAAAAGTTCTCTTTAATTTTTTTTTTTTTTTACATTCTCTATAATAATTATTATAAGTTGTGGCTTTTTTAATATAGTTTTTAAAAGTAGTTAGTTAGTTTATATGTATAAACTTATCTTTTACTTTTTTATTTAGTCTATTATAAAACATGCAGCATAGGGCTTTCTAGTTGTTCTATCTATAGATGGCTATTTGCTCCCTAAAACACGCTGCATAGTTCTAGACTAGTCTGCTGCTTTGTTTTATATTGTCTAGTTAGTTAGCTGCAATTTTTTTTTTATTTAGAGTTCTATAAATAGCTAATAAAGCTGCCTTAAAATTTTTAACACTACTAAATACTTCCTTTATTTTAAAATTAAGTAGGGCGCTATTAGCTCTAAAGTCTATCTAGTTGTTAGTGTAGAGTTAAAACTAAATTATAAGAGGGCCTTTTAAGTGTAGCCTTATCTAGAAGATTATTTCTACGTTAGTCTAAAATGCTCTTATATTATACTACATATAAAAGTAGCATTAGGTAAAGAATAGTTAAAGGTTTTTTAATAATTCTTTAAAAAGCTTTAAAAGGGCTAGTTTTAAAGCCTTTTTAGCTGTAACACTTACTTTATTTATTAAAATATTTTAAACCTTTACTAGTTCTACTTATAATTTATGTATCTAGTAGGCTTAGGTAGTAGCTTTATAAGAGTTAATAAGAGGTAAAGAGTTTTATAAATTTATAGTTTTTTTTTTATAAAAGTTAGCTATCTTCTGCTTAAGTTTTAATAATTTACTAACTTTATTACTAATTTACTAGAGTTTCTTAATGTTGTCTTAAATAGAGTTAATCTATTCTACTAAAACAGCTTTACTTTAGGTAGGAACTTCTATAGATCTAGATAGCGTAGTGTAGGCTATGTTAGAATCTAAATTATGTTAAGAGGTTACTATACTTTTTAAAAAAGTAGTGTTTAATGTTATAATCTTTACTTTATAAAGCACTTAGGTCTTATAATGTTTCTAGAGAAAGTAAAACAAATAGTAGAGGCTAATCTAGTAGAGTGTACAGTCCTACATATAAGCTATTAGGCTAATAGAGGGAGAAAAAGTGACTAGATTATAGTTTGCCCTATGTGCAGCAGTAAAAAGGCTAGAGTTAAACAGTCTTATTAGACAAAGTTAGAGGTATATATAGTGTAAAATATATAAATAGTATTACAGCTTTTTAGAAAGCTAAATGCTACTTAGTTTATGTAAAAAATAAACTAAATATTAAACACACCTTTTAAAGGTTGTTTAATGTAGAAACTATATATATATGTAGGGGACACTAAGGCAAGCTAGATAAGCCTACATAAGCCTACTAAGCAGGGCTTGCTAAGCTCCTCTAGGCTTATAGGATTTACGTCCTATCCTCCTATTAGACAACGCATTCTTCTATGATCTCAGGTAGCCGTGCTACCTCCGCGTCCTCCGCTTGGTCTGTAAGCGAGTCCCGCTCTAACTGTACCATATTGTGGAGCATCCTGGGTGGAGTTACGCTGGTCTAACTGTAGACCGTAACACTCTAGCTAACTAGATTAACTAGCGCTAGCAGTTAGTGTTACTAGCCTACTATTAGCCTACTTTTAAACATCCTAGAGAACCTAGACTGCACGCTAAAAAAAGTTATCTATAAGATTTTATAGATATATAACTTTCTAAGTAAGGCTTAATATAATTACATAAATAATGCTATGTAATGTGTTATTTAGAGGTAGTATCTTTAGTACAGTTAAAGTAAAGGCACTTATAGTTATATAGGTATTATCTAATATAACTAGCTAGAGGACAACGCGGCTACTAGAGGATGCAGATGCAGCCTGTAGTGTATGTTGTAGTGCTACTTTCTTAGTAAGAGTATTATCTTGTTAACAAATTTAAGTAACACAATCTATGCTTAAATTTTTTATAGATAATAAAGCATAGACTTAACTAAATTTATCTTACTTTACACACTAGTGTTATAGCTTTTTTGTATAACAGACTAAACATATATTTATAGATGCTACTATGCTTAGAAGTATGTTATAAAGTACTTTAGCATTAGTTTTAAAATGTTTTTAACTAAATATAAATAAAATATGCTTATACATTTTATTAACTATAAGATCTACTTTAATAGTATACTTAATTTTATAGTATTATAATAGCTTCTATTATAAGCACGTTCTTATATACATAGATAAAGGTAGAGGTGCTTAACATGTAAAGTTACTATAGTATCTCTTTACCTAGATTCTAGCCTACTTATTAAAGGCAATAAGTATAAAAGTAAGGAGTGTGCTTATTCTTAAAGTAAAAACTATACTTAAGGGCTCTAGCAGTAGCGTAGCTAGTAGAAGAAGTATAATATTACACTTTAAATAGTAAGAACTTAGTATAATAACAAATCTATTTTTTAAAAGAACATTATACTCCCCTAGTTAAAATAGAATACTTTTATAGTAATATAGACTATTAGCTATATTAATCTAGCAATTACTTATGTTTACCTAGGCCTACATATTAGACTTTATCTAATATCTAGTAGAAGGCTAGTCTAACCTAGCAGTTTCTTAGCTAGACTTTTATAAGCAGACACTATTTATATTACTAGTATTACTTAGTATAAAGCTTTAAGCTAATTAACTATATACTTTTACCTTATTAACTAGTAACTAATTTTATACTGTTTTTTTTTTTAAAGGCTGTCTATCTTATTTAGAGTAAAGTAGCAAAACACTTAGTTTATATAAACCCTTAAAGTTAAATAACTAATATAGTAAGAATATATATATAGTACTTAATTAACTAGGTGCGTGTCTACTGCGCCTAGCACACTGCTAGAGATCTAAGAGGCTCTTTATAATTAGAAACTTCTAGCATACAATATAGTTAATGTTAAAGATATTAATGCTTATACCTAGTAAAGTAGTAGCTACTATAATTTAGATATAAAACATTAGCTTTTTAAACTTAAAATAACACTTATTCTAGTTATATTTTTGCACATTTATAGTAAACATCTTTACTATGTTGTACACACACTATAGACTATTATTAATATTAGTTGTATACTAATTATAGAGTTCTAGTTCTTTTATTAAATAAAGGAGCATTAAGTAAAACTACACTATAGCTAACTAAATAAATATACACTTATTAATAAATATAACTATCTTAGAGATCTCTTTAAGATTAGCACACTTACTTAAGACACTTTTTTTTAAGAAAAAATAAAGACTATTTTATAAGTTAACTTTACTTTATAGTAAAAAAACTACTAAAATAGTAACATTAAAGTAATTAACTAACATGCAGATAACCTTAGTCTAGTACATATAGCAGCCTAGCAGACAGAAACTAGTGTAGTGTAAGACTGCATCCTCTATAGTACTGTTTAATATAGTAGAATAGGTAAACTAGACAACATCTTTTTAAAGTATAACTTATAGTTAACTTAGCATTATAAATGTAAGTTAAAACTTCTTTTAGTCTAATATAAAATAACATTTATTAATAGCTACTAATTTAATTTAAGACTATAACTCTAGATTTTTTAAAATGTCCTAAAAAGCTCTACTAGAAGCCTACTTTAGCTTTATAAGTAGATAAGTAAATTTTTTATTAATAATTTAAGTAAATAGTCTCTACTAACTAGCTCTACTTTATGCATTAATAATGCATAGCTTAAATCTTTTTAGTTATTATATATTATCTAGCTGCTTATTTTTAAGCTTATTTAGTAAAATAATCTAGATAGTAATTTTAGCAGTTAACACTAAATAAGTGTAAAAGATTATGCTCTTACTAAAACTAGTCTAAGTAATTAAAAAAGTATTTTTATAATTAAATATTAGTTACTTTAAGGTATAAACTTACTTATTACATAGTAATAGGCTACTGTTATTAGCGCTTATTATCCTTCCTTTATAAAAGATCTATATAAGACATGTGTAGAGAACATCTTTTTAGAATTTAATATTATAGACATCTTTAGCTACTAAGATAAGGCTAGGAAGATCCTTTAACTTTATAAATAAGATAAGATTAATCTAAAGCTAAAGGCTTAAAGAAATAAAGCTTTAACTTATTATATTTAAAGCATTTTAATGTTCTTACTTCTTTTTACTTCTTTACTATTTTAAATGCTTATCTTTTTTTTTTTTAACTTTTTTTTTTGCTATACTTTAGAAGTTTTTAGAAGTCTCTAGAAGTCTCTAGAAGTTCTTAGAAGTTTCTAGAAGTTCCTAGAAGTTCCTAGAAGTTTTTTAAAGGTGTAGGATCCCTAACGCCCTTCTTATTAACTAGGTTATATAATGTAGTAGTTAAGCGTAGGTGTACTAATAACTATAACTGCACACTTACGCCTGTTTACACTAAAGTTTTAATTACAGAAGGTAATAAAAAAAGTATGTATGCCTTAGCTTCTGCAGTTATAAAGGGATACAACGCGTAGTGTTAATAAGAGTAATAGAATAGAGATAGACAGTTAATAGCTAAAACACATAACATGTTAAAAATGTGTTTAATAATGTACTTTACTCTTTAAACAGTGTTAGATATGTTTTAAAATGTGCTTATTATAAAAATAAATACCTCTGTTTTTAATTACATTAAACATTTTAATAGATACTAATGCTAGTGTAGTGCTATTGCATAATTTAATAGATTTATAAACTAAGATACATATAAACTTACTTTATTTCTTCTTAGACGCTCTATAGATAATTTTATACATTATTAGTAATTAGCCTTTAATTAGCCTAGAAGACCCTAGAAGTTTTAATTAGCTTAGAAGTCTTAGAAGTTTTGTCTAATCTAAAATGGTATTAGCGCAAAATCATCTGTGGGGCGGCTGACTTGTGAGATAACCTGCCTCCGATCTACCCTTCCCCAACTTCCGCTGCATGCTATCTCTTCAGTTCTGCGACAAAACTTTGAGCTCGAAATTCTACCCCTCATATTAATATCTTGCCTAGACATCGGCCAGGAGTTGTCATGGGACACGTTCCAGATGGAGTTCTCGCCCCCACACCTCGGTGGAAACCTTCCCATCCCAAGGCTTTTCAGGGTCACCAAGAGACTGGGTTGGGCGAAGTGCAGCGTTAGAAGGCCGGCCGTCAGCTCAATAAGGACTGGTACTCCCATGGAAAAGCAAACTTCCCCGGGCCACTCAAGCCACTGACAGTCGGAGTCGCTCTGGATTGCATATCAACTTCCGCAAAGGTCGTGGCTGAGCTGAGCTTAAGCCTGAGCCTGTGTCATTGGTGGCGCCATGGGGTTTTGGTGTCGGGCGAGGCTGAACCTCAGCCTTGGACAAACCATAAGAACCTCCCCAGGTCGCAATGGCTTTTGAGTAGCTCACAACTCGCATTTAGGGGCCTTAAGGGAAACAGCCCACATCATGGCACCCGGTGACGTGAATGCTGCCTTGCTTCCGCTCCATTCGTCCCGTACAGAGTCTCCTGAGCCTTTGTCACCAACACTCCCTCCGGAACAAGGATCACTTAATCCGCCTTCTCGAAGGAGAAGACGTCATTCGAGAGGGCAGTATGCTTATTCAACTATTGAGGAATCACGTTCAAGGACACCAAGCCCCTCTCCACCTACGGCAACTCAGCCTAGTGAACCAACAATACTTTCAACTGAGAACCCTCCTTCTAACCAGCCGTCCGGTTCGGCCCAAGACGATGGACATTCGGCGGTGAATCTAGATCCCACTCCAGAAGGTCCTGCAGAGGCTTTGCTTCCCAAGAAGCCCAAACCCGCAGATGTCATCATATACAGATATGAAAACGACGCTTGTGTCGGGGATGGTATGCATTTGAAAACCGTGGACGATGTGAGAGCATTTTTGGAAAGTCTTTCATCTGCGCACCTTTCGTCAACAGATTTCCTACTACTTATCGAGGACATTTCGAACGACGTGATCCAAACACTCGCCGACAATCTGGACTTCAACCCAAGCACCGTGACCGAGCATGTCAAAGGGAGAGTAAATGACGATGGAAGCGAGAAAAGGAAGAGCGGGCTTCACGTTGATAAAATTCAATCGACGTTGTTTGACCATATTACCAGAAGAGACAACCAGGAGTCACTCACTTGGTGGAAGCTATTCTCACACTCCCGGACAGGCTACACGCGCGAAAAGGAAGCCTTAGATGTATGTGGCGCTGACACCAGAAAAATGACTGTACCGCACTTCGAAGTTCATATCTCCGATACCTTCCGAGATACTGCGCCGGCTGAGATGGACATCCGGGTAAGGAGTGTAGCTACTACTGTCAAGACACAGTGGCAGAAACAAAAAGAGATGGCGAGTCGAAAGAAATCCAAGGAGGCCCCTTTATCGAAGGAACATAATCTCGGTTTAACCGCCGAACGATCCCACCCAGAACAGCGCTCTCGGAAAGTTCACAAACTCGATGCAAAAACATACAGGCCACATCAGGTCATTACTGAGGTCAAGAAGGACACGTGGGGCGCTGCTGCTGAGGAACGCATCACGTTTACCAAACTTGAGCGTGAGGGATCAAGATTCTGTGAGTGTTCCTGCCTCCAGTGCTCATAGAATTATGTACCTCGTGCTTCCCCAGCATCCATATCAGGATGATCAGTCAGCCTTTTGGGTACAGCTGTGCCAGCATAATCTACTATTTAGCATCTAACTTTTTGGACAGATATATTACTATTCGACAAACCTCGAGGCATCCGCCAGTATACCCAAAAGGTCAGCGTCAATGACATGGAAGATCAGTCTGGAAGTATTTTGAGCAAGTTCCTGGCTCGCGATGTCCGGTCAGAAGTGACCATTAAATCGGAAAAGGCAGGAGATGTTTTCTCAACCTTCCTCTCCGACAAGACCATCACCAAGAGGAGCCGTCCAGGGAAATCACGCGCTCGGTCACAGACTCGCAGACTCTCAGCCATTACTAGCACAGGCGAAGTCGAGAAGACAACTGAAGTACACCCGCTACCAACTTCAACCAGAGAACGTTTTCTCACTCAAGCTCAACGGGAAGGCCTTTTTGGTCGCCAAAAATCCCGCCTCGAAGGACGAGACAATATCGTGCGCAAGGCCAAACTCGCATTTTCAGCCATGATTGCTCAGGATTGGAACCTTGTATTGTCGCAGATGAGCCTGACACTGGACGAAATCGATACGAAGATGTCTGACAACATTATGCTTCAAGAAAATGCCCTCGCATGGAGGCGATTGCTATGTTCTTGGCGTGTGAGCCTTGTCGAATACGCCACGCGAATTGAGGAGAGCAAGCAAGTCCTGCGAGCGCAGATGAGCGTCAGGATGCAGCCAAGCAGCTCTACCTTAGTAGGCACTGCATCCACCATTGAAATTTCTCGACGGCCAACACCATCAAACATTGAAGACGTAGCAAATCGATCTCTTGAAGATGTTCAGTCGATTTTGTACCTTTACCAGGTCCTTACGGATGGCGTCCGCAAAATCGAGCAACGCGTTGACCGATCCTTTCAAGCTATCATGTCATCCATGTCCATCATTGAGAGCGAGCGTGCCATCACCCAGGGTGTAGCAATTGCGCGGTTAACTGAATTGGCATTCATCTTCATTCCCTTGAGCTTTGCTGCCGCTTTCTTCTCTATGCAAGTCAAGGTTCGTTCTACGCTTCCCTCTCTCCTTCTAGTATGCTTATTTGTGCAAATCTAACTATCCATTTGCATAGGACTTTGCAGGAAACAACCAACCTCGCCTGAGACACTTCTTTGCTCTAGGTATCGCTTTGATCTTCTCGCTATATTGCTTGAGAGCCTTTATACGTTCCACCATGCTTGCAACATTTGTTCGCAACATGGAGAGGAAAATAAGGGAAACCAGTAGGGTTCCCGGTACTGAAGACATACCAGCGCGAGTTGTTGTATCCTTTGCATGGCAACAACTTGGTGTCCTGTCCCGGACGCTTCTGCTAGTTGTCCCATTTTTCATCATCGCTTTGGTCTTGATCGCGACTTTGAGTCATCACAAGGTGTTCAAAGCCCTTGGTAGCGTCCTACTGGTTATCGGAACAATCACCATGATTGCTTATATTTTCGGTGGTCGATATCTTGCCTCGTTCCGCACTTCCATAATTCTGGTCTGGATACTATCTCTCCTTGGAGCTGGCCTTGGTGGGGAAACCTCCCCGAATCCTGCAGTTATGGGAACTATATGCACTATAGTCACAACCGTGTGTGTGATTGCTTTAGCTGTTATTCCCCAGGACTTTACTTACGACCCAGATCTACTCGCAATGCGGATTTTGGCACCTTTGTGGGTACTCGAACTTCCGATTGCAATCCTATGTCATTATTATCAGTCTTCAAAGTGGGCACCATACCAACTTTCGCTGGGAATCATGCCATTTGTACTGTTATTTGGAATCCTTTCATCCTGGCTATACAATCGATCCTTCAGATGGATTCCGCAAACCCTCGGGGTTGGTGCTGTGACTTTAGGCATTCCATTATCACTCGTTTGGTCATACTGGCCGCTTCGAAACCCTGGTGCTCCCTTATATGGCCAGCTTTTGGTCACATGTTTCTCGGTTGCTGTCTTCATCTGGATTCTAGCCCTCTGCTTTGAGGATGATGTTGATGATACCACCTTCCTGGCCGCTTACTTAGCAGTATTAGTTGGCCTCCCACTCATCATGGCCTGGAGCTACAAATCATCCCATGGCACCCAGCTTCCTCTCTATGGCCAACTCTTAGTCACACTAGCAGCTGTAGGCCTGCTTTCGTGGACCCCTTATCTCTATATGCACTTAGATCTCAAAAAGAAGAAGGCGTGGCTCACAACTTATGCCACTGCTCTGGTTGGAGCGCCGATGGTCATGGTCTGGTGTTATGCTCCTTCACATGGCGACAGAATCCCTTTATACGCAAAACTTATCGTCACTGTAGCGAGTATCGTAGTTTGCTCTGCTGCTTATCAGTTCACTATTTATCGTCGACTAACTGAACAGTCCATCTTTCTTGGTCTCCTTCTAGGGCTAGTAGGAATCCCAACCATCGTCGTCTGGGCCGTTCTTCCCCAGACCGGAACTCCCTTCCCTCTATACGGCAAAATTTGTGTCACCCTTGGATCTATAATTGTTCTTTGCTTCGTCGTCCGTCTCATCAACCCCTTTGCAAAGGACCAGGACTGGAGGGTTCTTTCGTGGCTTGTGAGCGGGATGACGCTTGCGGCGTGGATACCGACTATTGTTTGGACCATCGATACGAAGGCTTTGGAGCCTATTCGTCGAAGCAGGGCAATTATGATTCATGTTACTTGGACGTCGATTTTGTTTTGGCTAATTGTGTGGCCATTTGTATGGCATTATGGATTTTCTCTTACTCGAGTGAGGAGGTCAAGGAGGAGCGTGAGGTCGCCATAAGGAGGTATATTTGTATAAGAGTCTGTTGATAACATCTGCAATGAGTGTGATTTTCAATTCATCGCAATTTAGAAGCTATCCAACTGGGTTCAACGACAGACGGAACAGGTAGAGAGACTTTGGGGATAGTCATCCGATTAGGCGGCATCGGACTCTACGCCTAGTCGCTCTCAGGTCAGACGTCTTCCTTTTGCCAGCGTATACTGATGCCAGCTCTTCGTCGAGAGTGCACTGACTGCGGCCCCTTCAAAACGCTAACCCGAGTCTGCGCTTGACGCTAGCTCACGCAAGATCAACTCTTAGTTTCTTCAATCTTCTACTACTTCACGCTAGCTCTCTCACAGGGTACCTTTTTAAACCTTGTATCTTGAACTTGATACCCTTCCTTACTGCTCTTCTTTCTTCAACACTCTTCTGATTGATGCTAGGTTTCTCGCTACGTACTAATATAAACTTAGCTTCCATCCCGCCTCTCCACCACTTTTCCACTTCTTAACCTTTGACCTTAGTCTAACTCTCTTCTTCTAGCATCTCTCCCCCGATACCTTCCGTCAACCTCCCTCGCCTCACTGCTTACCCGCACATGGTTTCAGCTCTGCGGCAATTGCCCATAACTAGGTCCTTTCCATCTCGCATCTACCTAAGCCGACCAGCTCGTTTCAGTAAGCAGCTTACATGTACTCGTGAGTCCTTGTCTGGACCCTCACATCTACCAGCTTTTATAGGCCTTGACCCTCCTTCACTTAAAGTAAACATGTTTGCTCACTTTAGCAGGAGAAGACTCTATGTCGCTGTTTGAGCCGGCAGACGACTACAATCCGAAACAGAACAAGGATGAGGTCATCCAAGTCGAGTCAAGTAAGAAGGTTCCTTCGCTAGACGAGAAAGCTACCACTTCCACAGCCCCAGAAATGGCAATGGTGCCTCGCAATCCAGGAACAGACCATGACAATAGCGAATTATCAGTTGTCCAACAGGAGCCTCCGCAAGAATCTAGTACCATTCCAGTGCATGTTCTTGTCCTTCGGGAGATAAAGGCAGATGGAGACCTCAAAGTCGTTAAAATAAAGTTGGACGGTTCTGGAGTTGGCAGTCCATCTGATCCCAGAGCCTCAATTGCGCCTCAGAAGAGAAAGGGTTTATAGGCCTCCTCCCTGTTGTTGAATATAATTACTGACCATTCCCAGCGTCTGAGGTAGGTCTCGAAATCGCTGAAGCTGATAGCGATGACGAAGATGACCCGGACTATGAGGGTGGTGTTCCTCCTCATGGCCCAGCTAAGGAGACTCGCTTGCGATTGCCTATCTATCATCCATGGATTGACCGGAGACGTGGCTCAGTGACTCCTTGGCGCATTCTCGAAGTTCATCAACGACAGCGGATACATGGGCAATGAGGCGAGACATATACAAGAAGAGATTAAAGCCCACTCAAAGATTTCTTATGGCGATAAGATTCTGGTTGGCTTGGTTGGCGATGCTGGTGCTGGCAAGTCTTCAGTCATCAACTCTCTCTTAGGAATCGCGGACCTAACGCTCGAGGTAAATTCTCCCCCTTTCATTCTATGAGCATATTACTGGTTGAAACTTTTAGGCTAACGAAAGCGACAGTTGTACATACGTAGTGATCGAATTCGTTCAAGGCTCCCCTACACAGAAGAAGCCATTCGCTGCAGAAATTGAGCTCTTCTGTCCGGAGCTATTCCAAACGATAGTAACTGGATTATTTTCTCAGTAGTTCGAGAATAATCGCAAGCTGGAACGATATCCGGACGAATATGGAGATGCGGAGAGCGGTACAGCGAGAACAGCACGGGAATGTCTGCAGCAGCTTTTTGCTGACCAAGAAGAATTGGCCGACAACGACACTGCAGAAAAATTCATGTCCACGGCCAAGTCGCCAGATGATCAAAGAATACTGATCAAATTACTGAGATGGACTTCGGAGATGTTGGCTTACTTAAACCCTCAAAGCGAAAAGTCAATCACCAGAGTCCAGCACAGCTGGAGATCTTGTTGAACAGATCCTCCCTTTTACGAGAACGTATGAGAACGCGAGTTTCAAGGGGCAAGCCTCTTCGATTCTCTCCATGGCCCTTTGTGAGAGTCGTTCGGTGAGCCAGAATATGGCTCACGATTCTTTCTGTACCAATACTAAGCAAATTTCGGAATTAGTCTTGATAATGGAATTCTAGAGCAAGGTGTCATCTTTGCAGACCTGCCAGGTACGGATAGACCCAAGCCCAATTGACATTCTAATCCCTATGCTAGCCTAACGGCCGCAAGGGCTTTCGGATATCAATCACTTTCGAGTAGACTCTGCTAATCGTCACTTGCAAATGTGTGATATTACAATGGTAGTTTCACCCATTGACAGACCTGAGAAGAGTGCTGCGTTCAAACGACAATATAGTGAGACATATCGAAGGAGGAGAAGTGGGAGTGTAGTTCTAGTGCTCACTCGATCTGATGTAAGTTCTACATCAGCATTTCTATTAATGCAGTAGCTAATCTAACTACACAGACCCTTAGTTCTGAAGCGAAAAATACCTTTAAGCTCGAAGCACAGGATGAGGAACGGTTGGATCTTATCGAGCAGAGCATCTTGTCTTTCAAGAACATGTCCGAGCTGAAGGGGAAGGAAATAGAGAAGAGCAAGGCCTTGGGCAAGAAGCAGAAGACTTCGAGACTCCGAAGCAAAAGCAGAAGGTCATGTAAGACACCAGTCCAACTAAAGCCGGTAGTATGGATCCTAACTCTTAGTTCGCAGGAACCGCGTGAGGGCGCTTAAAGCAGAGTAAGGACAAAAAACCTAATGATTAGTCAGGTTTGTTAACATATGACTAGAAAACTGGAGTTGAAGATTGTCGCAAAGTCGCAAATGCCACTATGCAAAATTACCAACTCGATACCAAGGACGAAAAGCGAGTTCCCGTCTTTTGCGTCTCCAACAAAGACTGCATGGGCTACATTCGCGGAGGGGAGAGTGTAGATCCCTCGAAAATGAGTCTCGAAGAAACCCAAGTTCCGCTCATGAGAGCACATATATACGCCAGACCATCCGAGGGAAAATTCGCCACACTGGACCATTTCCGCCGAACATCTTTACCAGCCCTCCTGAACATTATACAGATGCATGCAGCACTACCATGCTCGCTCGCAAGGACCATCTGGTAGGAATTGTCAATGAAGCTAAGAAGGTAAATGGGTAGCCTACATTATGCTAGCAACATTTTAGCAAATTAGTAACATATCCCTTTAGGAAACGGAGATAGCATTTAAGAACATGGTGAAGAGATTCCACAAAAATGACATTATGGAGCTAGTGAATGAACTCTCCCTAGATCCACGGAACTCATTGCAGTGGATTTTTTCTGCGGACAGCACGACCTTTGTGCCAGAAGTTCGCAAAATTCTCACCGCAAGGTCACCGGGCTTTCATCCGCCATGGTGGAGACTGGAAGACACAGAACATCCCCCTGGCTAGCTGGAATGAGGAGCTTCTTAGTTCGGCTAAAGACGGTATGGACGATCTCTTCGCTGAGGTCCTCGATGAGGGCTGCGAAAATTTCAAGGCCGAGATGGTACAGGCGATTAAGGAAGTAATGAACAAGCTGAATGCCATTTTACGAAGTAAGATTTCCTCATTCACTACAAGAGCCATGACCAGCAACGTTCTCTAATCGTTACTTCTTAGATGACCCTCAAGTTCTCGTGTGCAACACCTACAAAGAATGTTTCCCTGACAATCTAGGCCATTATGAGACAGAAATCGCCAGGCTGGTAGACCAACTCTTAGAGTCGCTCTTGACAGACTTTAGGTATGTCAAACCCCATTATTAACAAGTGATTCCACTGCTAGCCTCAAGAAGGGAAATACACCAAAAGGCAGCAATACATGGTACAGGTCACTACTTCACAGTTTCCATGCACGACATCTATGAAAATTGCGATAGCGAGAGGCCTCTAACAAAAGGTACCACACGCGACGCTCCACCTACCACCCATTCCATCACTTTTCCCACACAAGCTAATCACTTACCCACCAGGCAAAACGCTCCATAAATGCCGAACCGAACTGTTCGAAGCCGGGGCGTGTGATCCCAACGGCCCCTTCCGTGGTATCCCGGAAGGGGTCGAAGTCAGCATGATTCAGGCTCTGAACCAAAACGGCGGCGTCCTACAAACCACATTCTAGACATCCTAAATAAGATCCAGAAGGATTTCGAGAACATGGCGAGAAAGAAGGATAGCGATACACCAGAGGGAAAGAAGTTCCGGAAGGAGTTGCATGAGTTGGTAGATGAGGCAAGGGGGATTTTGAAGGGACCTATAATGGAGTGTCTGGAGCTTTGTCGCCAGTACGACAAAGTGGGCGTGAGATCGACTGCGAGATCGCATAGTTGATGAGAAAATTCTAGCGCGTAATGTAAGCAAATGGCTATCTGATTGCGGATTGGCTGATATTTGGGGCTCTTATGCTGGACTTGGTCCGTCTCGTATAGCCTACGACAACCTTTGATATTACTTTTTTCGGATTGGCCGACTTCTAGGCCGTGGCAAATTTTCATTCCTTCCTTGGTTTAGGGTTTGGGAGTATTTTTCAGGGATTGAGATTATATCCTTCTTTCATATCTAGTTTGGAGTCCATTTCTATTTACGGAGAGGGCTCTTCTTTGGGCTTCTTAGCATCTATTCACAACCGAGAATTTCAGTGCGGTTATGAATGACGGTAGAAATTACCGCTGCAAATAGACTTAGTGATTTCTCTAGCCAAGCGTCTATATATTTCAAGATGATGTGATCCTTGTTCTCCAATCTTTCCATGTTCTTCAGCATATCCAAGTGTTCCTTAAGAGTATCCCAATCCCACAAATGTCCTTGGCTTTTAATCGCGGTTCTTACTAGCAGAATTTCCAAGCAGGCACAGCCAATCCATCATCTTTAGATCCTACCACGGAATACTTAACCCCTTTCTAAAATCCTTTCATAGAGCCCTAATACTTGCGCTTTCATATGCCATTCATTCGCTCATGTGACTAGTACAAGCTCACCGAACAGAACCCTTTCTCAAGTTGACAGACAGACAGTCTCTCAGACCGTAGTAGCGAGCCCCGCATCCTATATCTTATCTCCTAACGTGGATCAGGGCAAGGTAATCCAATACAGGAACATGCACACTAGTAGCCTTCTCCCGATTTCTAGCAAGAGGTGTAACAAATAGACTCTACTTTAATTATGTTTCAGGCTACGTGATAACATGCTATATAAGCGCAGCATTAGCGACAAGCGCTTAATGCACACCCAGACTTGAGAATCTTCCACCCCTCTCAACCCTTGTACGGTCCTAAAACAGATCTCTCAGAAATGGAGCAAGTAGGCTACGACTCCCACAAGGCATGATTTGAAAACTTGGGCTCTTACCCACTTGTCCAGCAGGACTTGTGCGAAACTAAAGAGATGTATACTTATTGAAATTGTCATCACATGACATCGTATTTCTGAGGATGAGTAGAGAAGTGCTTCGGCTTCATTCTTGACATATCTCTTATCTAATCTGATCGATCAGTTGTGGAACCACAGCGCAATACCCAGACATGGTATGATTATGGGATGGATCTATATACTTAAACTAGATGCGCGTGATGTTATACGGTATCTTACGCCCTGACGTGACATACTACAGGGGATATCAGGACAGAGTTTTGGATCCTATCGAAACCCTTCCTGATTCTAGCAGGAGGGATAACTGATAGACTGCACCCTAATGATGTTCCACGTTTTGTGACAACATGTACTCTACTCCGAAAGAAAATAACATCCAGGCTTGTCAAAGAAGTCTATTCCCTCGTCGTACAGCGTCCGGGTACGGCGTCCGGGCACAGCGCACTGCGCGCGTACTCACGGACACGAACATGCACATATGCACGTACATGCGCATCACCTCACCCCCACTGGTACACAGACACGTAGCCGAGGTCCCAGATACACATGTGTGTTGTAACACATGCAGGGAACGTACGCAGGTGGCATCTTAAAACTGTACCGGGCTCCGGGATCGGAAGTTAGGAGAAGCATCCTCTTGAACATTGCACCGGTGGCGTCAAATGTAATACTAAAATGGCATTTATCCAGTAGAATTCAATAGATCTCGAAGGGGTACACAGATTCGGATATTTGAGAATCTGCCGTTACGTACGAGTGCCGCGATCCCGTTTCCCGCTGCTTGGGGCTGCCGATCGGGGGACATAGGAGTCAAGCGTGGTACGAAAGTCGAGGTACCGTGACCAAGGTGTACTTCTGTCTGTCCCCGATCTGACCCATACCTTACCGAAGCACATTGTCAGGCATATGATACGATCACGTGCAGCGGGGACACTGTACCAGGCCAGATGCAGGATACCCAGCTCTCATCGCTCAAACAGCTCCACTCTACACTCCCTACTCCAGCGGTATCCCCATACCCGCATCGTCGAGCCTCTTCTCCCACTCCTCCCTCAACCTCTCCATCTCTCTCCAACAATTCCTTCCGGTCTCCTCAAACACCTCCCGGTCTTCCTTAGTTAGATCCCTCGCGTAAGGACTCCTACCCTTCCTCCTCCTGCTCTTTCCCCCTTTCTCCACTCCTTCCACCGTCCCACCCCACCCCCATCCCTCTATCTCTGTCCTCTCCACCCGCTCTTGTCCCCACCAATCCGTCGCACTGCCCCACTTTCCGACGCCCTCGCGCGCCTCCATGGTATCGAGCGTGCTTTGTTTGACGAGCGCGAGCCACACCATGGCGCATGCGCCTTTGTAGGCGGTGACGGGATGCCACTGGCTGCCGAGCCAGCGGGCGATGTAGAAGGTGGCGAACATGCAGTAGTCGAGGAGAATGAAGAGGGGCATGATAGACGTGCCGCAGATGCCTGGATGGGCGACGTAGATGCGAGGAGGCGTGGTTGTGGCTGTGAAGGGTGAGGGTGAGGGTAGGGGTGGGAGAGGGGCGCGGAGGTAAGCAGAGACGGTTGGAGCGGTGGATGGGAGGGTTGAGGTAATGCCCATAACATCTGTTAACCGCTTCGAGGACTCATAGGGGTGGCGTGATTCGAGGCTTTGTATATCCTCCAGATCAAGAGAGTGGGTGTAACCTTCTAGACTGCTGACCCAAACCAATCGACCCCTCGTCTGCTCACCGTCATCGTGTTTCGCCAGCAGCGATGCAAGGTAATGCCCCAGCAGATAATGCCCGAAAAAATTTGCACAAAAAACTTCTCCCAGTGGTGGCTCCTTGATCTTCCTCTCGCCATTGCCATCTGTTGGCATCTGGGGTGGTATTTGTGGCTTCGTAACCCAACCAACCCCCGACTTCTTAAACGTCGGCCAAGTAACAGCATTCTTCCAATCCGTAAGCACCGTCCAAACAGCCTTGCCCCAATGCAGTCCCTCCCAGCCACCAATCCCTGCGTTGCAAATCACAACGTCAAGTTTCGGCGTTGTTTCCCTCATCCGTTTCCCAAGTGTCTGCAACGATATTATACTCGTCAGATCGAGAATCTCCTGGCGGAAGTAGACGCGTCGTTCCAGCAGCATGCGGATGCCTGGCATGTTCCCTTCTAGCTTCCGACATGTCTGCTGCAGATGTCGGCGTAGCTGAGCGACTGTGTCATCGCCCTTTCGCTTACTGCGCGTCGTTATTATGAGGACGAGGGATTGCGATTGCGGACGCGTTTGGAGGAATTCGTCGATGAGGCGGCATCCAATGCCCAGACCGAGGCCGCTGTGAATACATCAATTGTGTCCCCTGTCGCTCAATGGCGCGGACTGTACCTGTTGGCGCCCGTGATGAGGACGTAGAAGCCATTCTCAGGCCGAGGAATGTCTTCCAGCAATGGCATCGAGGACGAGTGGGCTGGGTTGTGTTGCTGATTAATGAGGTTGAGAAGGGGATCAAGCTTGCCGAGTTGGGGGTGGAGGGATTTTCGTGGAGCTGGACCAATGGGAATTCACCGCTGAAGTCGACATGAAAGTCACGTTCTACTCGCTCATTTTATTAATTGTTTCCCTACATCCCCAAGGCAGGATACAGCTCAACCGGCATATGGTATCAAGCTCCAGTTCAAGGCAATAAGTCTCGTCCTGTCTCTCAAATTCCCTGCCATACCCTCCAAACCTTATTCCATTCCTGCAAGTTCCATATCTCTCGGTCCTACTTCGCTTCCAAAATCAACGATGCTGTAAATTAATCCCTCCAACCCTCCAAAACCCCCTTCTTTGCTCCCAGGGCCGGGCGACGGGATTTGCAGCGCCAGCGCCAGCACCAGAGGGGTCTCGAACGGTTGCCCGCTGCATAGCATTTGACAAGCATGAGCCCAGCTGCGAGCTAACCCGGCTCTTCCATGGCTCGCACGCGGGATCTCATGGTAGTGTATGTGCATGGTTGCGCGAGCATCGATCCTCGTCCAGCATCTAGGTTGGCGGGGAAGACGGCTGCGACAGACCGGGAAACCGGACTGAGTTCCGCATGAATGGGAGAGTGTGGAGCTGAGCACGATGCTCGTGGTGAAAAAAAGTAGAGGTTGCAAAAAGGACCGAATGGTGAATCTAGGAGTACCTGGGAAGGTGCTGTAGTCGAAGACTTTACGGACCGAACTGCGCCATGCCCAAGATGGCTTGGTCGAGGATCTGGGAGGTGTATATGTTTGATGGAGCTACGGCAGGCACCTTTGGCGGGGGAGGGGAAGAGACTTGGTGTTCAGTATCGTACGATGCTGGCGATCTATGTTTCATTGCTATCTCGTCGGTAGAATACTTCCATCGAAAGTTGATGCTGGATGGGTGTGGGTGGTGAGACATCGAACGTCATCATGGCAGTTGCTGTTCGCAGTCTGATGGAATGGGGATGACGGACTCAACTCCGTAGGTGCCCAGCTGAGCTCTTGGTGGTCCCATTGCCCGAGCGTGTTCTATTGTTTGAAGCGCTGAAGTCGAGGGCTGCGAATCCAATTCGCCGGCAGAAGGCGGTGATGTTGAATTTGAGACTTCCACTAATGCGTGCAATCAGAATCATCACATTACGAGATGTTTCGGAAGAACACCTGCAGCTCATAAATTGAAACATAACGCCGAGGCGGAGAAGAGTCGTCAGCTGTGAGGCAGTGAAGAAGATGCCGCTGGAGCAAATATTCCAAATATCTCCAGCAAGCGTTCAAAGAGGTGGGCAGGAACACCCCAGATGCTGGAGGGCGCTGGAGTTCTTGCAGCCATGGGTATCGGGCCGATGTTTCTCGCACTCTCTCTCTCTCTCATTCTTGCTCTCTGCGAAGTCGGCATCCGATATCATCCAACTCTGACAGCTCGGGCCGACCCGAGTAACCCAACGCCGTGGATCGCTCCAATTACCCAAACGCCGTCCTCCTCAGCCCTCTGCCACAAAACTCGGCTGATGCGGAAAACATCCACCCGCAGAGGTGATGCCACCGGCAATCTTTGACACGCGGCACGCGCAGCTCGGGTAAAAAGCCGGCATCGTGCGAGCGCCCCTTTTACCAGAACCCAGAAGTGCCGTGAGACGGATCGTCCGAACAGGGAACTACCGGCATATGTTCCTCTCCAAAGTTTGGAAAGAATTCCGTCGCCCGCATATGTGAGGCAAATCCTGCGGCGGCACCACCCGGAACAAGAAAATATTGAAACGGCCCCGTTTCGAAGAGAGGGAAGAAAAGCTTCGCTCGCCCTAAAGTGGCCCTTGTTCTCACGGCGAGTCCTCCGAGCCCACTGCTAATCCTTGTGCTGTGTCGCGAGGCTAGCGAAACCCTTGCATCGGAGCTTCGGAGGAACTCCCAACATCCCAAATCCCGGAGAAAAGAGGGAGGCTAACCTGGTGAGGATTGCGGGCTGAGGATCGTGTCTGTTGTGGAAGATAAGCCAGGATTGCCCTGTTCGGGAAAGCTTTATTTCCAGTAACCTCCTGGGACGGCTAAAAAGCTCGTCATCCACATTGCTCAGAGTTTTCGACTTCCCGTTCCCACCCGTACGCTTTGAGCCAGAAAGTAACTTCGGGGAACCACTTCCAGCAGGGGACAACGCTGGAAGCTAGACGATAGTTACAGACTAGACACAAACACACACGCTACAGTCAGCAGGAGCAGCACCTAGCTGAACCTGCTCAGCCTGTCCGCAAGGCCCGACTGACTCTCAGGTCTCCGTTTCCTCTCCTCGCGTAGTTAAACTTTCGGTGATATCTCGAACCTATTCGCACACAAGTCTTGGCTCGATGCTGTAAATGTATTCGCTGGTTACGATTGACGACGTGCGAGATCACGGATGTGAAGAACCGAGATCAGCAGCAGAGTGTCCAGGGTCTTTCTTATCCATGTGATCAGTGTTGAGTATTGTGGGTTTAGTGTTGTCGAGCATGACTGCAGGTGTATCAGTCTGTTGAGTCGGAACGCAGGTACCGGACCACATGAGTGACGGGAGATCGCAAGGAAGCTGAGCGTCAGCACGAGCAGCACGACTACCCACCCACTTTCCTCCACTCCGCTCCGCCCACTGCCTCCCCTCAAGCAACAGGCATCGCTTACGGAAATATCACGAGCCGAATTGCGCAAATCCTCAAGGCCTTCTCACGCGATAATTCCCAGATAACAGACTGACGCTGCCCTCAGGACCCACCTGAATTGTGATCTTCGCTCTCCCTTACTCTCGGTTCGCTCACGAGTCAATCACTTCAGGGCTGTTTCGCTTCCAGCTCGTTGACAACGTGGCCTCCGAGTTCCAGAAGACTTCTAGTCGGTAGCAGTGTCGCCGCAAGCGATTCTCCAGCTGAATCCTTCCCGTTTACCGAACATGATCCGAAATCGCCCCGGGGGTTTATATATCTACCCTCCTGAACGGTGAGTTAGTGGGAAAGGGCTGGCTGACTGGACATCTCAAAGCCATGGATGCGCAGTACCACGTGGAAGCCACAAACCAAGGCCCACCCACATGCACACTGCAAGCATTGTGGACAAGCTGAACCATGCCACGGAAGGCTAAAGTCAGGCCCGCACCGTCCAAATAAGAGACAGCGTGTCTGCATTGCCATACGTGAACGGTTTCTGCGCCAGCGCCACAAGTCGGAAAACAGGCGTATCCCCGATGGCTTCGCACTCCCCAATGCCATGTCTTCCGAGGGAAGGAATTAGAAAAATCTCCTGCTGGTGGCGTATAGATGCTGCAGCGATCGATTCGCTCGGCTGGGCGAGCTGAGTTCTACTGTATCCTTGTGCCTGTTCGGAACTCACGTGCGAGGCATTTTTGTATAGTGAGGCAAGTGATGGCGACAGCCATGATTCAACTCGAAATGCGGTGAGTTTCGAGCCTGATACAGACCAGGACTTGGAGGTACCCATGATATGCTCCAAAGAGGAGCCACCCCATGGGGCAAGGCGTCCAAAATCCAGACATCTCAGCACTGACAGGACTGACCCAATTACCCATTTCGTGGCTTTCACTCCCATTGGCCGATATAAGCACATATTTCTGGCTCATGCGTTTGTATTACAGGCACATGGATGGCAGGAAGGATGCTGCTACACTTCTGCATGTTTGAATAGATGGACCCGACAGTTGGCGACAAGACCTCCGGATGCCGGCCTGCGAAATTGCAACGGCGTTCGCATCCGATTCCGATTGCATGACGGACGGAGGTCGCGACGTTATAATATTGCTGTGAGCATTATATTATACCTTTTGTCTGGTATGGTATTGTCAAGCAGCGGGTCGCTCCGATGACGGCCCGGAAGGATTATGTATGCGTACTCCCAAAGGAGAGGGGTAAGTGTACGGGTACGAGCAGTGGTGCTGCCCATGTCACGAAACTGGATGCTTTCTCCTATCTCTCCCACTCTCTATCCTTCTATCCATGGCTGATTGAAGTACCAAACTCACCTGTATGCAACAATCGGATCATGGTGCCAATGCAGACAGAGAACTCGGAAATTGTGCTTCCGTAACCCCCCGGAATTCTTATCTGTACGCAGCCAAATTTGAGGTTGTTTGGCCTGGGGATTTCTGAGGGGGAATATCTTGTATTTCGAACCTGCAATATCGGACCCCTAATAAGCCTGCGGCAAAGCTAGCTAGCTGTCAACGCCACCAAAACTTTGCACTATCCATGATATGCAGGGAGAGTACATCGATGTTGAGGGTCCGGCCTGAATGCGGGAAAAGTCACACAGGTGGTGTGCCAGCGAGCGGAGTTTTGTCCGCCACCGCCGTTGGCGCGCTGTACAACCGGGTGACGTGCGATCATGACGCCGCAAGGCCTGGGTTCGCCCATCTCGTTTGCAAACACTCCTCTTCCACTCCATCTCCGCTGAAATCCTGGTGCAAGATTCGGGGCATGTCCGGTGACTTTTGGCTTCGAGTGGAAGAAAACGCGTTAGGTGAGGTTGAAGAGCGCCCTGCATTAAGTTGCAGCATGCGTCCTGCAGTCGGATCGACCAACAAGAATGCCTGGGACTGCAGCGCCGCACATTAGCGATCAAGTTCGGCTGGACTGGCGGTGCCTCGGAACAAATGCAAAACGATGGAACAGGAACGCAACGCCATACACTGTGCAACATAACATGCAACATAGCATCTCCAGAACAAACAGCAACTGACTCTGACTCTGGATATAATACAATTTTTGACTATAAAGATCACAGCCAGATTGATAGACTGGCAGTACAGATTTTGCAAACTTTTCGAATCCTTAGGTCCGGGGGTATTATGCTAACTCTTTAAATCCTGCTGGTTGATGACAGATAACACCGTGCCGTACCGTACGCCTTGCTTAAAAGTACGATTGATGGATACGATAATATAGACGAAGAAGGAATGGAAGGTCGAATTTACTTTGCTCTGCCCGCAGAGCCCTTGCAGTCACCTTTGGTCAAATTAGATTAGCTGGCGCTATGCAATGCTGGGAGAGGACATCTTGGACGGACCGCAATTTTCGTCGAGTCGGTATTCTCTGTAAGCCGTGTTAGTGTTATTTCTATGGCATAGTAGTGGTTGATAGGGGCCTTCTAACATTGCGACCACGTTGGGTTGGCACCGTTTCTGCGTCTCCTGATATCTTGTACACCACGCTCTCACTGTGTAGCGGAGATGGGAACACTTGTAGTGTACTTGGGTATAATCACACATGCTGGTTGCGAACGATTGAAAGGCTAGCAGTGAAGACGTTGGTAATGTACTGTATGTAGGTAATGACAAAAAGAAAAGGTACTATGGAATATGGTGAGGGTGCAACGATGACTTGGACTTGACTGGCTGGACGCTTTAGCTTCTTTTTTCTTTTTTAAAATGATCGGAGGGAGACGTTCATGGCGTGTCGGACCGTTCCTTATGAATGTAGTTCCGCAGAAAGCAATGGTAAAGGTGACAGCGAATGAGGTCTCTGCGATGCATGTCCCCAGCAGGCTGAACCGAGTCCCTGGTGCTTCTACAAAGCTGGTCCTGTAACAAGTGCTTGCACTGATTCCTCAGCACTACGAGAGCCGCGTCCCGGACGTCCGACTGGTCAAGCACTTGAGCAGAATGTGGTAGGCCTGTTTGAAGTGTGTCCATTTTGAGCGACGTGCGGATCCAGCGGTCCTGAAGTGTACAGGGACAGTCGACTAAGGTGCTTGGGTGTAAAGAAAAAAAAAAGATGAGGTGACAAACTGGAGTAGATGTGGCAGGGTTCTGGTAGGCGGAGCGCAAATGGGGATGGGCCATGAATGGATGGGAGTGTGGCATCACTCGCCTCGCTGCTAGCTGCAACTTGCACCAGCCGGCCCTACTGATCTGCGGCCACGGTTCCACGTTCACTACAAAATATGGTGCACATGTGTGGGTCCGGAGGCCCAAGTGGGGTGAGGCTCCAAGGATCTGTTAACCAGGGGTTCCTGCACACCTCTTGACTGTTTAAACGGCCATGCAGCTTAGCACAGCTGTTAATTTGTAGCCGTCAAAACAGTGCTGATTCAGGCCATCATCACCCGCACGAACCCTCGCGACGAGAGCCCCTCTGAAACGCCTTTCGGTGACGAGGGGCAATATTCGCCGAGCCCTGCACCGAAGCCGCTTCCCCGTGGCGTTGCTCGGACATTTCACCATCACCACTCTTCATCAAGTCAAGAAGAGGTTGCGCAATTCGAGTAGCTGAGCGGGACCCGTTCCGACCAGAGGATGGGCTTCCGGCGGACCCACCTGCAGAACATGAGTGACACTTGTCGAATCATGCTGGTGAACAAGAGTTAGGCTTGCTGATTCCTGGGTCCGTTGTAACCATTGCTGGCGTAAGTGAGCATCTCTGGCTCTCCCGCGCTGTGGGCTCGGAATGTCTGGTCATCTATGACCTGCACTGTGATCGGGCATTCCAAGGGTGCTTAATGTTTGGGGTAGATATAGTTGACTGCACTCTCGAACGCATTCACTATCCGCCTCGTGGTGGTCGAGTTCAAATAAATGAAAGGAACGTGCACACCGCAGGAGAGCATAATAAAAGTCCAGCTTTCGCGTTTTGCTCAGGCCTCACGCAGATATAACCAACCGGTTCCTCGGTTCCTGCACGGCATGAGTCGCTTTCCGCACATAGCACGGTAAAATGCCCAGTGAAATGACAGGACACCATGCGGACCGGAAGGTCTGTCAAACGCGTGGCTGCCCGTGGTCCTGGACCCGTGGGGTCGCATCCTTATTTCCACGCCTCCTGGTCTCCCTTATAGAGCATTGAGTAAAGGACGTTAGCAGCAACACCCTGATGTGAGAAAGGGCCGAGCCGGACGTGAAGGATGTCTTAGCGGAGATGACGCGAGGGCTTCCAATTTGCTGGCTGAGCTATCCGTAGGTGCATTCTGGAACGCTTTTAGGAGCACGCCATCTAGGTTGAAGCAGGAAGCAGGCACCTCAGGCGATGCATAAGGGGTCCTGGGAACATTGGCCGCTGACCTAGTCTGAGGTGAGTGGATATTCAAGCAGGTCCCTACACCGCTCTCTTGTGCTCTTCCCCGACAACCCTCCATTATTGATATCAACGATCATCAATACCACGCGTCTCGTCACGCGGCCAAACCGTTCAAGGCCGGAAAGTTCTCAGCGGATATGTCAAGGCGACTTTCACGTCTAGAGTGTGGTAGCTCCTAACATCATCCGGCCAATCCTGGCATGTTGGTACTCACCGAAGCGTCTCGATATTTCCTGCCTACCTGGTCAGCTGAACAGGCAGAAACATGATTCTCACCGGCCATGGCCCATAGCTGGGCCCAACGACATGGCAAGTGCCGTATAATTATTGAAAGGCTCCCGGTCGTCAACGCTCACAAATTCAGCCTGAAAGAGGGCATGTAACGTAGAAGATAACGAGCTCTAACAGGAAAGCCGTAGAGCAGGGCTTTGGCTTCGATGTTGGACTGTTCGCTGTGCCCCGCATCGTGGAAATCGATCCTTCCCGCCAGCAGAAGAACGATAGAACAACAACATTAGCGAGCCTATTACCAGGAGACGCCAGGGTATATAAATTCTTGTGTAGGGTAGTACCGGCTGAGCAGTACTTCAGTTGGTTGTCGGTCGCCTCTGCCGCGACTTTCCTCGACTGCTTTAACAGCCATTATCCGCTCAAGTCAGAAGCGGGACCATCTTCGTATAAGAACGTTATCGCCCGGGTACCGCGGAGAGGAATGAAGCCAATGGAAAAGACGCAAGCGGCCATATTGAGCTATATAACACGTCAATTATATCAAAAATCCCCATTCGCCTCATCAGTGTCAAGCCAACCCCGACACATTTCCACAGCTCGTCCCCACTTTTTGAACATCTTAGCGCTCTCTTCCTTGGAGATATTCGGTTCGAATATCATGCGGTCCTTCTGGTTGATATCTTTTAGCTCGTCGAATTCTTTCCATATGTCAACGGCGAAGCCTGCTGCGATGGCAGCCCCCAATGACGTCGTCTCGCGCATAGCCGGGCGATCCACAGGAATGCCGATAATGTTGGCTTGAGTCTAGATTCGTTGAGCTTGCGACAAACCTCCTCACAGGGGTCAAGAACAGGTTATATGTGGACTTACCTGCATACACAAATTGGAGTTGCTCATACCCCCGTCCACTGCAAGCTCGGCAAGCTTATGACCACTATCACGCTCCATGGCATCGAGGATAGCTTTCGTTTGGAAGCAGGTAGCCTCCAGTGTCGCCCGGGCAATATGTCCTCGCTCAGTATGTTGCGTGATTCCAAATATTGTCCCTTTGGCATCATCAATCCAATATGGTGCAAAAAGACCACTGAAAGCAGTGACGAAGACACAGCCTCCATTGTCTTCTACAGTCGCTGCGAGGTCACTGATTTTGTGAGAATGGGTGATGAAACCCATATTGTTCATCAAAAACTTCACACCACTGCCCGCGACAGCAATGCTGCCTTCAAGTGCATAGACGGGCCTACGCTTGCCACCAAAGTCGTACGCAATAGTAGCGAGGAGGCCATGTTGGGAGATTACAGGCTTTTCGCCTACGTTATAAAGCAGGAAGCACCCTGTTCCATATGTATTCTTTGCAGAGCCAGGAGAGAAGCCTTGCTGACCAACAAGTGCTGCAGATTGATCTCCCAGACATCCTGCAATGCGAATGCCCTTCAATGGGCCATAGGTCAGGGAACCAAACGCATCCGGAGACGACGATGATACGATCTTTGGTAGATTGATCTTGGTGCGATCCACGTCGAAGAAATCCAGGAGCAAATCGTCATACTGAACTGTGTGCAGATTCATGAACATGGTTCGGGATGCGTTTGTGGCATCCGTGACATGGACGTCATTCTCCTTTCCGCCGTTCAGGTTGTACAGGAGCCAGCTGTCGACGGTCCCAAATGACAGGCGCCCATCGTCATAGGCCTTTCGAACAACATCCACGTGCTTCAGAAGCCATACGAGCTTGACGGAAGACGGGTAGGTCGAGAGCGGAAGACCACATATATCCTGTAGCTCATCGGAACCATCCTTGCCCTTCAATTCTCGTACTAATCCCTTGGTTCTAGTATCGGGCCAGGCGATTGCATTATGGAGCGGTTCTCCTGTCTTGGTGTCCCACACCACAGTGGTTTCGCGCTGGTTCGTGATGCCCACGGCCTTGATGTCCGCAATATTATTACCCTGGTCAATAAAAGTCTGTGTAGCTTTCTCTATGCATTGCTCGACGGATACCATTATCTCCTTGGGGTCATGTTCATGCCACCTGCATACATTTAGTGAGCGTCGCAAGCCACAGCTATAGCTTGACAATACTCACCCTGACTGGGGATACTTTTGAGAGAATTCAATTTGATGCTGTGCGACGGGCTGCCCGGTCCCATCAAAAATGATAAAGCGAGTACTAGTCGTCCCCTGATCAATGGACCCAATGTAAAACTTCGTCAGCTTCTTTTCGTTCGGTTGCGTTCCTCGAGACGCGTCGGCCGTCTGCTCTTTCGCAACTGGCTGCGGGTCTGCGCCCGCCACTGAGCTCTTTTCCATTGACATTCTCCCTCTTACGATTCTCTCTCGTTCAAAAGTCACGGAAGATTTAATATGGAAAGAGGGAAACCCAGCTAAGTGTTTCCGAAGGGGTTGGCAGGGTGAAATCGCACCAGGGACGTGTTTGTATGTCTCTGATGACGTCGGTTTGTGGAGTCTAATGTTCACGCGAGCCCCCAAAGCCGAGTCTCAGGGAGCGAAGAAGAGACTGGAAGCTGTTGAACGAGAGAGCCGCGACGAGATCATGATGTAAAAAAGTGGTATGGGACACGGAAACGATCAGCGAGTGTGGGGAGGCTTGTTTTGCTCTATCACGTTGTCTTGTGAAAATGACAGTGAGGGGTGTTTGCGGGAAAAAGCGGGGGAGGGGAAGCCCAAGTACCAAAGTACCCAACGCATGAAGCCCAGGCAGGGTCATGTGCGTTCCAACATTTTATGTCTCAGCTCCTCCCTAGGACACTATATAGGGAGAGTTATCCTGGTGTTAACATCATTCATAAGCTGAGTGCGGACCCAGACTTCCATTTGTGTGCACCATCTCACCAATCCGATGCGAAATTTGCAAGGTCAGACTGATGAAACATTGTCATAATGGAGTACAGTATCATACAGAAAACGCCTACACAGGCCTACCATTAGAGTAGTCGCACGAAAAAGATGATTTGGTGGCAGAGTGCTCGGCATTCTGAGAAAAGGACCCGAACTGAAAAGAAACCATGGAATGCTAAAAGCCCTTCCGGAGGAATGGCCAATAAACGCCACCAATCAATTTGCGGAAACCACCGGTAGACATTAGACGCAAAGGATTTCCTAAGGTCGTCTAGTCGAATGCATCTTACTCGCTCTTTTCTGCTTCTTTAACGCTGTCATCGCCTCCCTTAGTCGCCTCGGCCTCTTGCCGCGCTCTAATACCCTCTTCCTCCTTAGCTAGTGTTTCTTGAGCCGATTCTCTCAGTGCAGTCAGTCTGTCCACTGCGCCTGGCAGTCTTCCGACTCGATCGGATACCTCACCTCTTCCAATGAGACTAACCACGATACTGGCGCCGACAATGAACGTCAACACGAAGCGGTAGATGGCATACCAGGGTGGAGTCCAGCCTCGGTAAGACGCCCTAGTGTCAGCGTAGTAAAGCAAGACAAAAGCTCCAAATTGGGTGATCAGGGCATATTCCACTGGCATGAGCACTGTCGGCCACGCTACAGCTGGAGCAACAACCCCAATGGCGTAGCGTCTGTAGCCGTGATGTCCACCGTACCCAGCAAATTCAAGGCCCCAATGGATGGCACCGAGGAAGGAAAGGATCTGCAAGGTTTTCAATTGATGGCTTCTTCTTGGGCCTTGGCTACACTCACCACGGCGCCATATCCAATCTGCAAAGGCTCCAAGACATGCAGGAAAGTCTCCGCAGTGGCAGAAGACATGAGGGACCCAAGTCCACCAACGGAATGGTTAATCTCCCAAGCACAATAGACGGTTGAAAGAGATGTCGCAAGATAGGGAAGGACTCCAGCAAGGCCAATGAGGTAAGCCTGGCGCGGTACCTCGGACAGATTGAATGTCTCTTTGATCGTGTTCTAGAGTTCGAATTCGTCAGCCAATGGTAAGGGCGCTAATGCGTTGTACGTACCAAGTCATGTTTGACACCGCCCATCGTGTCAGCATCGGGCGCCGTGGCAGGTGCTCCTCCAACTTCACCGAGCACGAGGTGAATTGTAGAAGTAGCCGAGACTTGCTCAGGCTTTGGTTCGATTCTTTCGTGAGAATACCGATTTTCAGCTTCTTTGTTAATCTTCGCGGCTAATTTTCGACGGAGAACTGCGGTTTGTATGGGTTTGAATTGAACCATTGGGTTTATCGAAGGGCGTTGGAAGCTCAAAGAGCTGAATTTTGTGGTCCGTTGTGCTTGAGACGCTGATCGGTTAAGGAGACTTCTAGCTGGACATGCTGCAGGGGTAGCAATTGACCTCAAGGCCAAGCGTGATGCTCTGGCGCGAAGCATATTGCAAACCCAAAGTTTGAAGGAGCTTGCAGCGACAATGAAAAAAAGAACGATACAATTATGGTTGCAATTGATGGATTGCAATTGATAATTTACAAAGGTGCGAATGAGTTGAGAGGAGGGAAAGCCGCCCGAGGATATGGAATGCTTAGGAAAGGATGGTTGACAGGGAGCTCAACCAAGCTCCCCGCTCTTGCTGTCAAGGTTGGAGCTGTATGTGCACGACACCATGACGTCACTAGGCACAGAACAAGGATTGAGGCTTCTGATTGAGCACTGCATTGGGAGCATAAAGAATTTGTATTGACAGAAATTTAACAGAAGTTAAAAGAGATAGGAAAGATGAAGAGTACTTAGTTCTTATATCTATGAATAATGCACAGCTCGCAGGACGGCAAAAAAGAGATGGCACAGCTACGTCTACTATGTCAGAGTTTGCATCCAACCTTGGAGGCAATCGCCACCCCAGTGCCGTGATGCACGATGCTTCATGGCGCGCACGGGCGAAAGATTTAGTAGGACAGCCACCTTTCAGTATTTAGAAAGGAAGCGCATATGCAGTTGAAGACCAGTGGGCTATGTCTCGTCTTTCGGCGGAATTGGTGGAGGCTGTAAATTGCAAGGCTGTGGAAGCCTGGAAGGAGGACGAAAGTCGAGGGAGACTCAACAACGGGAGTGCGTACTGCAACGCTACATCAATATTGATCGTCTGAGGTTGCGCCCTCGTCCTTCTCCATCACGAGAATGTCCATTCTGCGAAGGGCGAGGGCGTTGGTGTTGGAGGGTGAGGGGCTCGCTTACATAGCCCAATTAGGTAGTGGGGCGAGTGCGTCACAGAAGAAGGGCCAAGGACGCTCAAGAAATTTCTCGCAGCACCGCGAAACCAGCTCTGAGTGCGCGCAAAAATAAATGCAGCCTAGAATCGGCGCGAAGGAGGGATTGGAATAGAGCGCCGGGATATTTGCCCCCAAATGGCCTGTCAGGCAGCATCCGTAGTGGGCCGAAGAGGCTGCTGGAATCTCGTAGAAGACGCTGGTTGGCCGGTGAGCCAGATCGAAAGTTCCAGAAGAGGATCCGAAAACTGCGTCTCCCACTGATACAAATAGCCCTCCACCGCCCAATTCCTCCTCTTCCCACACACCCAACTCGTTCTTAACGACTGACGCACTCGAAAGTCTCGGACTTCTGTGAGCAGGCTCGACTGTTGCCTTTTCTTTTCTGCCTCTACTTGATACCCACCACAGCCCTCCACCCCGCAATACCACAACAACCATGGCCCCCGCTATTGGTATCGATTTGGGAACTACCTACTCCTGCGTAGGTATCTTCCGAGATGATCGGATAGAGATCATCGCCAAGTGAGTATTTTTACCCCCGAATGTTCTTCATAGAGCGAGTGCTAACATCTTCGCAGTGACCAGGGTAATCGCACCACTCCCAGTTTCGTGGCCTTCACCGACACCGAGCGCCTCATCGGGGACTCCGCAAAGAACCAGGTCGCCATGAACCCCGTGAACACCGTCTTCGATGCGAAGCGTCTCATTGGTCGCAAGTTCGCAGACGCTGAGGTGCAGGCCGACATGAAGCATTTCCCCTTCAAAGTCATCGACAAGGGTGGCAAGCCTGTCATCCAGGTTGAGTTTAAGGGCGAGATCAAGACGTTCACACCTGAGGAGATCTCATCCATGGTTCTTACCAAGATGAGGGAAACTGCCGAATCGTACCTTGGAGGTACTGTCAACAATGCTGTTGTTACTGTCCCTGCCTACTTCAATGACTCTCAACGTCAGGCCACCAAGGATGCTGGCTTGATTGCTGGCTTGAACGTCCTTCGCATCATTAATGAGCCTACGGCAGCTGCCATTGCCTACGGTCTCGACAAGAAGACTACTGGTGAGCGCAATGTCCTGATCTTTGACCTTGGCGGTGGTACCTTCGATGTTTCTCTTCTCACCATTGAGGAGGGTATCTTCGAAGTGAAGTCCACTGCTGGTGATACCCATTTGGGAGGAGAGGACTTCGACAACCGGCTCGTCAACCACTTCACCAACGAATTCAAGCGAAAGCACAAGAAGGACCTCACAACCAACGCTCGTGCTCTCCGCCGTCTCCGAACTGCCTGCGAGAGGGCTAAGCGCACACTGTCTTCTTCTGCACAGACGTCCATCGAAATCGACTCCTTGTACGAGGGTATCGACTTCTACACCTCTATCACCCGAGCTCGATTCGAGGAGCTTTGCCAGGACCTCTTCCGATCCACCATGGAGCCGGTCGAGCGTGTCCTCCGCGATGCCAAGATCGACAAGTCTTCCGTCCACGAGATCGTCTTGGTCGGTGGATCCACTCGTATCCCCAAGATCCAGAAGATGGTCTCCGACTTCTTCAACGGCAAGGAGCCCAACAAGTCCATCAACCCCGACGAGGCTGTCGCCTATGGTGCTGCCGTCCAGGCTGCTATCCTTTCCGGCGATACCTCTTCAAAGTCCACCAACGAGATATTGCTCTTGGACGTTGCTCCGCTATCCCTCGGTATTGAGACTGCTGGCGGTGTCATGACTCCTCTGATCAAGCGCAACACAACCATTCCAACTAAGAAATCCGAGGTCTTCTCTACCTTCAGCGACAACCAGCCTGGTGTGCTCATCCAGGTCTATGAGGGCGAGCGTGCACGAACCAAGGACAACAACTTGCTCGGCAAATTCGAACTCACTGGTATCCCACCGGCACCGCGCGGTGTCCCACAGATCGAGGTTACGTTCGACCTTGATGCCAACGGTATCATGAACGTTTCTGCTCTCGAGAAGGGTACCGGAAAGACTAACAAGATCGTCATCAGCAACGACAAGGGCCGTCTGTCCAAGGAGGAGATCGAGCGCATGTTGGCGGAAGCCGAGAAGTATAAGGCTGAGGATGAAGCCGAAGCCGCCCGTATCTCCGCCAAGAACGCCCTCGAGTCATATGCTTACTCGCTGCGAAACACTATGAGCGACTCCAAGGTCGATGAGAAGCTCGATTCCGGCGATAAGGAGAAGCTCAAGGCGGAGATCGACAAGACCGTCACTTGGCTCGACGATAACCAGCAAGCCACCAAGGATGAGTATGAGTCACAGCAGAAGGAGCTGGAGTCCGTCGCCAACCCAATCATGATGAAATTCTACGGTGCCGGCGGCGAGGGTGGTATGCCCGGAGGTATGCCAGGCGGCGGCATGCCGGGTGGTGGCTTCCCCGGCGGTGCTCCAGGCGGCGGACACGCAGATGACGGTCCAACTGTTGAGGAGGTGGACTAAACGCATCGGTACCGAACGAAGCAGTCGTCCATTTTCTTTCTTAAGCAGCATAGAAATTCCTCTTTCTCGGGTGATTCTTTGGAGTTCTTCGGTTGATAGAGCCAACCGGCAGCCAGGTCTTTTGTTTCTTTTTTTTTTTTTTCTCTTTCCTGCTCCCTTTACCCTACACTGGATTGCATTCAAGGATGAATTCATGAGCATGAGATGAACATGATTGTTGGAGGCGAAAAGTCTGCTACTGCGATGGAATGGGGTTGGGGGGAACCGGTGTATGTATGTACTCTAATGATGTGGATTTAGTTCCACCCTTAGTATCCTCAATGAAAGTGATCCAGAATCACCTCTTCCAGAATCATCTCTTGCGTCGAGCATTTGCATTTGCGTTGTGTGGAGGTAAATTTAATAAAGTTGAGAGGGTTGAGTTCGTGAGTTTCCTTCCATACGTGCTTCATGTGATCGTGCATTTAGAACTTCTGAGTTGACAAACTTTGTCTACAGGGTATCTCGTGAATTTGGCCATGCATACATAGATTTGACCCCCATCCTAACACCAATATGAAAGAATTCTTCTCAACCTCTCTATGACCCCCCTCCGTCCCCCCCGTACCCTCCAAAGGCCCCCCTAACCTCCTCTCCCACTCCCCTCCTCTCCCAGACATCTTCACTATTCTTCCCCCGCTTCACAACCTCCTCTTTCCGTGCATACCGCTCCCGCACCATCTCCCGCCTTGTACCCTCAGAGTATACCTTCAGTCGCATGCAGAAACGCCAGTCGGCCCAATGTTCGCTACAGTTGCGCAGTGTCCCGTAGCGGTATATGTCGTTGAATTTGCCACCGAAGGACGCACAGTGGAATGCGGAGTCGAAGAGTGCGCGACAGGAGAGGTGGGTTGGGTGGGAGGGGTCGATTGGGAAGGAAGGGGAATTGTGGGAGAAGGTTGAAGGGTTTGAGGGGTTTAAGGGAGAGGAGGATGGGGACGGGGACGGGGCAAGGTGTGGATATGCGGCGTGGAAGGCGGCATCGGGGTGGTCAGATTGGGATAGGGTTGTAGTTGTTGGTGCTGGAGCGGGAGGGGGAGGTTGCGACCGCGGCGGGGGCGAGGGTGGCTGCGATTGTGGTTGAGATTGCGACTCGGGTTTGGCGTTTGCGGAAGAGATTGGAGTTGAGGACCATAGCCAGGCCATGGTGACTTTGCAGGTTCGTTCTTTGATATGCCAGTGTTCTTGAAGTCTGTGCTGGCGAGATGTCTAAACACCGACTCGGGGTGTAGCAGTCGAAGTATTTTTTCAATAGGTCAAGAGAAAGGAATAGGCGATAGGGTGAGGTATTAGCAGCATGTGGTTTCGAGGCTTTGATTAGTAAGTTGGTTGAGGGCTGTCGGATGCAGCTCTGAACGTGTTGAGATCCCGATCGAAGCTGGAAAAAATTCGGGTCGTCGCGATTACCTCATTAGGCTGAGAGTTTTTTTATAAAAAATAAAATAACAGAGATATAGCGTAGCACAGACCAATGTGATAGGACCAGACAGGAAAGCAGATGCCTAAATTCTCGACGAGATGCAGGTGGTGTTGAAACTCTGGACGAATGGGTGTTTCGCATCATCTTGTCGCGTCCATCACGTGGTCGAATGCGGGCATCATCCTTTCCTCACACAAACACCGACGTCATCTCCTACCGCTGAGTTGCCTTGGACCATCGCTCCACTAAACTTCCGCCACGGCGTGTCTTTCGTGCGTGTTTTCTCTTCTGTCACTGCTGCTTGTCTCTGCTTTGCTTCTCTTCGTCTTTAATTTTCAGACTCCAGCCTACCCGCATTCTGCGGTTTGGCCTGATCGGAGCACTGCCCTGAGGCACGGGAGCCTGCCTCCACCCTGCAATTTTCACGATTGGCTACGTGCTTAGTATCTACAGCCCCCTACCGTCACGCAGTACTGCCCACTTGTTACGACATTTCCCTATGACTTCACCGAATTGTACGACCTGACGAATCCTCGACCGACCTTAGGTACAACCCCTCTCCTCCTTCCTCCCCCCGGCCCGGGTAGTGGTCGCCCGCCCCCACCATGCTCGAGGGTCTCGTCGCCAACTTGCTTAATCGGTTCTTGGGTATGTATGTTCAGAACTTCGATGCGAAGCAATTGAATGTCGGCATCTGGTCCGGCGATGTCAAACTCCGCGACCTCGAACTGCGTCGCGAGGCTCTGGACCAGCTTCACTTGCCGCTCAACGTAGTCGAAGGACATTTGGGGTCGCTTACTCTACAAATACCATGGTCGAATCTGAGAGGGAAGCCGCTGAAGGTCAATATTGAGGACGTGTTTCTGCTGGCCGCCCCGAAGGAAGATGCGGAGTATGACGCTGAGGAAGAGGAGCGGAGAGCGCATGCCGTTAAGATGGAGAAGTTAGACAGCGCTGAGCTACTGAAGGAGCGGAATACGGAGGGTATGAGCGCAGAAGAACAGCAGAAAAATCAAAGCTTCACAGCTAGCATGGTTACTGCCATCGTGGACAACGTTCAGGTTACCGTCAAGAATATTCACATTCGGTACGAAGACTCGATATCAGACCCTGGACATCCATTCGCGTTGGGAATCACGCTCGCCGACTTCAGCGCTGTGAGCACTGACGAGAATTGGAAGCCTACCTTCATCCAAGGCAGCTCTAGCTCGACGCACAAGCTGGCCACTCTTGGATCTTTGGCTGTATACTGGGATACGGACGCCTCGCTGATCGGGACTGGAAAGGGGAGCCAGGACAAGACCGAGCAGCACATCGATCATACCGAGTTCATTGAGAAGGTGCGCGGCATGATTGTCCGCGGAGAGAACCCCCAGCTTGGAGACCACCAGTTCGTCCTCAAACCCGTCAGCGGTCGTGCTGGTCTGGAAATGGACAAGACTGGCAAGCCCGACAGACCGAAGATGAAGGCGCGCTTGTTGTTTGACGAGCTTGGTTTCATTATCGATGAGGATCAATATCGAGACGCTCTCATGCTTGTCGACCTCTTCCACTACTTCATCCGGCACCAGGAGTATAAGAAATTCCAACCAAAGTCTTCACCGAAAGAAGACCCTGCAGGATGGCTACGGTTCGCTGCGCAGGCCGTGCTCGACAAGATTCATGACAGAAATCGCAAGTGGAGTTGGGATTATTTCAAGGAACGTAGGGATGACCGAATACGGTACATCGACCTTTTCAAAAAGAAGAAGCGAGAAGAGAAACTTGCTCCGCTTGAGACTGAGGAGCTTGATGAGCTTGAGAAGAAGTTGAGCTACGAAGATCTGCGTTTCTGGCGATCGTTGGCACGGAATCAACTCCGGAAAGAGAACGTTGGAGTGAAGAAGCCGCCTCCAAAACAAACCTGGGGTGCCTGGATATGGGGCTCCAAGGAAGAAGAGGATAAGGACGACAACACTCAGATTACCGATGAGCAACGTAAGGAGCTCTACAACGCCATTGACTGGGACGAGAAGAAGGCAATCGCCGAGTCGGTGGATATGCCGAGGGAATACGTCAAGATGGAGGTCAATATGAGCCTGCGGACTGGAAGCTTTACCCTCAGGCGTGATCCACATGGAAAAGCAACCGAAATACTCCGTCTCCTCTTCGATTCCTTCAGTACCACGCTCCTGCAGCGGACGGATTCAACGTTTGTTAAAGTAGCCCTCGAGGGTATGCGTTTATATGACGGCACCACCGAAGGGAGTCTCTTCCCTCAGATCATTACGATTAAGGACGCCCCTCCGGTTCCGGACGAGAAGCGATTCGAGGAGCTCAATGATGACGAAACCTCAAAAGAGTCCGACGAAGAGGGGGAAGAAGAGGAGAAAGAAGATCCCTTCTTCCAACTCTCATTTGAAAAGAACCCTCTAGATGGAAGTGCTGATACAGCCCTTACCATGAAGCTGAAAGGCATGGAGATCGTATACAATCCCAAGTTCGTCGTGGAAGTTGCAAAATTCTTCAAACCGCCCGAGCGACACATGGAGTCCATTGGAGCGCTCATGGAAACCGCAGGTGCTACGGTAGAAGGTATTCGGCAGCAGACCCGTGCTGGGCTAGAGTTCGCGCTTTCAGAACACAAGACCATCAACGCCCAATTGGACCTGCAAGCACCTCTTATCATTATTCCGGATTCTGTGACGAAGAAGTCAAGCAATTGCCTGATTCTCGATGCTGGTCATGCCAGCGTCACAAGTGAGTTGGTCGACAAGGATACTCTGCGGGATATTCAATCGAAGCAAAAGCAGCAGTATACCGATGAAGATTTCCGCCGGCTCGAGGGCCTAATGTACGATAAGTTCCTTTTAAAACTGGAATCTACGCAGGTCCTCATCGGCCCCTCGATCGAGGAAACTCGAGCTCAGCTCGTTGACACAGCTACCACCAAGGACCTGCACATTGTGGATAGGATCAACATGGACTTTAAGATTGAAATTTGTATCATACCCAAAGCTTCTGATCTCACAAAGTTCCGTATATCCGGCAATCTCCCAGTCTTGCATGCATCCATCTCTGATGCTAAGTATAAGAACCTCATGAAGCTCATTGACGTGGCCGTCCCAAAGTTCGAGAACGAGGAACCCAGCAAGCAAGTAACTGAAGGAGCTAAGGGTCCTTCTAACCTGAAACTCACCGGCGAGGATAAATCCAATCACGATCCACTTGGGAGGCCAAGATCAAAGTCCTTCCAGTTTACAGCGCAGGAGCACGAGCTTGTGGTGGAGGAAGAGAGGGATGATAACCAAGGAGAGGAGTTTGAAGACGCGGTCGAGGCCAAGTCAACTAGCGACATCAACATACATCAACGCAACTTTCAGTTCAATTTTACAGTAGACAAGCTTCAAGGTTCCCTCTTCCGTTCTGATCCAGAAGGCAAAAAACCAGATCAGCTCTTGGTCGAGTTGGTTGCAGAGCACTTCGATCTTGAGTTCTATCAGAAGCCCTTTGATATGGTTGCTGAGGTTCGCCTGAGATCCATGGCCATCGAGGATCACGTCGAAGAGAACCCCATACCCGAGTTCCGCAACATTGTGTCCTCGGAGGATGTGTCAGAGTCTGAACAGAAGGATCTGTTCTCGCTGAAGTTTGTGAAGGTGAACAATGAATCCCCTGAATTTATGACAAAGTATGAGGGTATTACCATGAATCTGGATGTTGCTGTGTCGACCATCAATCTGATCGTCACCAGGAGAACACTCCTGACGCTCTTAGACTTCATACTCATCACGTTCACGAATCCTGGACCTCCTCAGAATCAGCAAGCTCAGATTGCTGCCAAAGAGGAGCAACTGCAAGTTGCAAAGCAGCCTCCAGCCGAGCAGGACAAGATCCGGATTCGAGCCGAGCTCAAGCGCATCTCCGTCGTTCTTAATAATGATGGTATCAGGCTTGCTACACTAAGCTTAAATTCTGGAGATGTTGGAATCTTCTTGAACGGCAAGGCGATGCGTATTAGTGGAAGGCTGGGCAACCTATCGCTGATTGATGATGTCAATCAGGGTGTGTCTGAGGAGTCGTCTCTTCGGCAGCTAGTTACAATCCAAGGCAAGAACTTAGCGGACTTTAGCTACGAGACCTTTGACCCTGATTCCGAGAGCTATCCTGGATACGACACCTCTGTTGTCTTGAAGACTGGATCTATCAAGATCAACTTTCTAACAGAACCCTTCCGCAAAATCATGGAATTCGCCGTCAAATTCGGCAAGATGCAGGCTATTTTTAACGCTGCGCGCCAGGCTGCCGCGAACCAAGCGACGCAGATTCAAGAACGTGCCACCAAGATGCACTTTGACATCGTTATCAGCACGCCAATTGTGGTCTTTCCACGGATGGTCATTTCCGATAAGCCGGATCGAGATACTTTGATAGCGAACCTGGGAGAGATATACGCGAAGAATATGTTTGTTCCCTTGGACGACTCCAAGAATTCAGACGTGGCGAACAAGTTATCTGCAGGTATCAGGAACATCAAGCTGACCTCAAATCTTCATTACGAGGACGACCAATCTGAAGAGCTGCAACTCATTGACAAGGTTGATTTGGATTTCAACATCATGATTGTTGACCACAAGCCTGGACGTCAGCGACCCGATCTCGAGATAGAAGGGACCATGTCAAACATCAACCTGAAACTCACCTCTGAGCAAATGAGGTTCGCCTTAGAGCTTTCACGATCCATTCCCGCTGCATTTGCGACAGAGTCGGATGATGTCATTGCTGAAGATGTCCAACAAGAGCTGCCGGACTCTACGACCGAGCCAGCCAAACAATTGGCTGATGGGAAGCCACCTTCCCAGGAGAAACCACAGGATCTTGTGTCAAGTCAAAACCCAGAGCTACGAACCGGCGACGAAAGATGGACAAAGCTTGATTTCTTCTTCAAGGTTGGCGCTGTTGGCCTGGAGCTAATAAAGTCTAAAGACGGCGAGCCCGTCTGCAACATTGAAGCTGCCAGTTTGTCCAAGTTCTCCCTCAATGAGACAAACGCGAAACTTCGCATGATTAGTGATGGAGCTTTTGAGGCCGAATTAATGGTTCAGTCCTTTACTATCAGGGACAGCCGGATGCAGGAAACGAACAAGTTCCGAAAGATAATGTCGCTCATTAACAACGACGTAAAGCAGCAGTTCATGGCTAGTATCTCCATATCTGGTGGGCAGGAGAAGAGTCTAATTGCACTCTTAACGATCGACAGCCCGAGAATCATCCTGGCATTAGACTATCTGTTCGCTTTGCAGGCTTTTGTCAACGCAGGTCTTTCCACAGACGAGCCCCTGGCCATTGAGGAAGAGATGGATGATGACGACGCGGACAGCTCCATGGACTTGAAATCTCCTGATGGGTTTGCATCACCTGCTAAGCCCAGTGCAACCGCGGAACCAGCTGAGGGTGGAATGAACATCTCCTTCCGCGTGAACCTGGTGGACGCGCAGGTCGTCCTAATCGCAAATCCCGCGTTATCAAGCTCTGAAGCCATTGTGCTGGGTACAAAGCAGGTGCTTGTGTCAAAGCAGCAGGCCATGACGCTGCAAGTCGATAAAGTTGGAATGTTCCTTTGCCGCATGGACAGATTTGAGACAAGCCGGCTGCGAATCCTAGACGACTTCAGCATCCAAACGGCCTTGGATATTCGTAACCAGGGAACAAAGTCATCGTTGACCAGCATAACTGTGGACATTGAGCCGCTCGTCCTACGATTGTCCCTTCGAGATATCTTGCTCGCTATGCAGATTGTCAACCGCGCGTCCGCAATGTCGGCCAACGACGAAAACAAGAAGTTAGCTGAAGAAAAGTCACAAATGATCAAGCAAGGTTCAGGATCAACCAAACCGAAGTCTACAAAAGCAGCATCGTCGAAGCCTCCAGCTAAGAGTTTTGCTACCACGAAGCGATCAAGCCAGCATGGTCCTCCACCACAACCTCCGCGGCCCGGTTCAGCCATGATTAAGCGTGAGGAGATGAGCGTGAATATCGAAGGAATCCGTGTCGTTCTGATCGGGGATGTTCACGAGATGCCCATGCTAGACTGGCGTGTGAAGAAGTTCGGCATTGATGTACGAGATTGGTCGGGAGCAATGACAGCTGATACTAGCATCGACACTCTTATCAACATTTACAACTTTTCCAAGTCAGCATGGGAGCCTCTGATTGAACCGTGGCAGTTGGGCTTTCACATGTCTAAGGACCAAAACCCTGACAAGCTTTCCGTCGAGCTCTATTCCAGAAAGTCTGTGGAGCTTACCGTTACAGCAGCTACAATTGCTCTAGCGTCCAAGTCATTCGACTTCCTGACTACAGACGAGGATATCCTATCTAAGCCTCGTGGCACGGATGCTCCATACCGTATCCGTAATTACACTGGTTTTGGACTAGATGTCTGGGCCGAAGGTCGAGATCTGATAGACGGATATGCATCCAAACTCGAAGACGGAGATGAACAGCCGTGGCGATTTGAAGACCCTTCAGCCACTCGTGAGACCCTGTCGACAGAAGGAGCTAACGGTGTTCTTGGCATACGGCTGAAAGGTAGTGGGTTCGACACCATCCCGCGAATTCCCGTGCATCGTGAGGGAGAGTTCCTTTACAACCTCAAGCCCAAGAAGGACCGAGTACAGCATCGCATCCTCGTAGATGTCAAGCTTGGCGCAGACAACGTCAAGAACATAACGTTCAGGTCTCCGTTGCTAGTTGAAAACAACACCCAAATCCCAGTCGAGCTTGGCATCTACAGTCCTGAAGAAGGCCATCTCCTGAAGATTGAGAAGGTTGCTCCCGGTGATGCAAGACCAGCACCGGTCGGAGCAGCATTCATGCATTCAATCGTTGTTCGCCCAGACCAGGGGTTTGGCTACACCTGGTCAAATGAACGCCTTTTCTGGAAGGACCTGCTGAGGCGACCTACTAGGACGATCACATGTCGGGGAGAGCAAGACGACCAATCTCCTCCCTTCTACTTCCAGATGCATGCGGCGTATGATAAGAAAGATCCTCTCACCAGTGTGTATCCATACATGCGTATTCGCCTGGCCGCGCCGGTTGAGGTCCAGAATCTGCTACCATTCGACTTCAAATACAGGATATACGACAGCAATACTAAGAAGGACTGGACAAATTTCCTGAGGAAAGGAGGTGTCAGCCCAGTCCATGTGGTGGAGCTTTCACATCTCCTACTCATCAGTGTGGACATGCAAGACACACCTTTCAAGCCAAGCAAGTTCGGCATTATCAACTCAACTGACCGAGAGAGCTTCAGGAGGGAGAAAAGTTTAGAGTTGAAGGACAACAATGACCTTACGTTGCACCTCAACATGCACTTCTAGTAAGTTCTCTAAAATCGACGACCGCCCAAAACGAAGCATACTAATTCCGTTTAGCAACTATCCTGATGGCGGTGGGTCATTCAAGGTGACAATCTATAGTCCCTACGTCATTCTCAACCGCACTGGGCTTGAACTCGACGTCCGTAGCAAGGCGTTCCTTGGCCAGGCCAGAGGTGCAGCCGGGCAAGGCGTCTTTGCCGACACCAATGACGATGGCCACAAGCCACTGCCATTCATGTTTTCATTCCCCACCGAGGACAAGAAGAATCGAGCTCTGATCAAAGTTGGTGACTCGAACTGGAGCAAGCCTCAGAGTTTCGATGCAATCGGAAGCACTTATGCAGTCACACTACCCTCTAACAAGGCTCGATCTGACATGCATATCGGTATTACCGTCGCCGAAGGCGAAGGAAAGTACAACTTGAGCAAGGTCGTCACTATTGCGCCCCGATTCATTATAAAGAACAAAATCAAAGAACAGTTGAATATCCGCGAACCAGGCTCCTCAGAATGGATGTCGCTCAAGACTGGAGATTTGCTACCTCTGCGATGGCTAAAACAGGGAGGAACACCCCAATTGTCTCTTTGCTACCCTGGTGTCAACAACCAATGGTCTTCCCCGTTCAATATTTCCAATGTTGGAAGTGTTCACGTCAAGCTATCTAAAGCCGGGCAACGCCAGAAGCTCATCCGAATTGATGTGCTTATGGAGCATGCGACGATCTTCATTCACATCAGTGTTGAAACAAAACACTGGCCGTTCTCCTTCAAGAATATGAGCGATCAAGAATTCCTGTACTGGCAAGCAAATCCAAACCTGGATGAAGATGAGGATGATCGTGGGACCGGATTCCGACCTATTAGATACCGCCTTCCTCCACGGAGTATTATGCCGTATGCTTGGGACTTCCCTGCTGCCAAGAACAAGGAGATCGTTCTCAACGCAAATGGGAGAGAGCGACATGTCAAACTTGCTGAGATTGGTAACTTAATTCCATTCAAAATACCGCCTGGGCAGAACCAGAGTCGACAGAAGATCATTGATCTGAATGTGGTTGCCAGTGGGCCAACCCAAACGCTAGAGATCTCAAACTACAGGCCATCAAAGAGCTTGTACAAACAGAAGTCAGGCACCGCTTCCTCGGCGACTGGCGGTTTCGAAGTTAAGGATGTCGACAATGATGTGACCTTCAAGGCTCAACTGCGGTTGGCCGGAATTGGCATCTCACTCGTCAACCGCCAGTTGCGTGAGCTAGTCTATATCACCCTGAGAGATATCGAGCTCAAGTACAATGATTCTTCACTCTACCAGATGGTTAACCTGATGGTCAAGTGGATTCAAATTGATAACCAGCTCTATGGCGGTATCTTTCCCATTATCTTCTATCCGAGTGTTGTACCCAAGACTGGCAAGGAAATGGAGGCCCACCCGATCTTCCAGACGAGCATCACGCGTGTCAAGGACGACTCATATGGCGTGCTCTACATTAAGTACTTCACCATCCTTCTTCAACAGATGACGCTTGAAATTGATGAAGACTTCATATTCGCAATGCTCGACTTTGCGAAGATACCTGGAGCATCTTGGTCGGAAGAGAAGGAGGGCAAACTCTGCGATGACTCTCTTGATATTCCGGAACCCCAGCAGGAACAAACCGGCCAGGATGTCTACTTCGAGCTTCTCCACCTTCAGCCAATGCAGATCGATCTGTCTTTCGTTCGCACGGAGCGCATCAATGCAGAGGATACGATGTCCTCGTCAAATCCTTTCATGTTCGCAGTCAATGTATTGACTATGTCTATCGGCAATGTCAATGACGCACCGGTCCGATACAATGCCTTGATGCTCGAAAACGCACGCGTATCGACCGAGGCGTTGATCAACAACATCAAAAGCCACTATGTCCAAGAGTCCCTCCGCCAGGTCCACGTTGTCATTGGTTCCGCCGACTTCCTTGGTAACCCCGTTGGCCTCTTCACGAACGTCAGCTCTGGCGTTGCTGACATCTTCTACGAACCGTACCAAGGTCTCGTCAAATCCGACCGTCCAGAAGAGCTCGGCATCGGCATTGCGAAGGGCGCATCCAGCTTTGTAAAAAAATCGGTCTTTGGCTTCTCAGATAGTATGGCTAAGTTCACTGGGAGCATGTCCAAAGGCCTATCTGCCGCCACCCTGGACAAAGAATTCCAAGATCAGCGCCGAATGTCGCGCTCCCGAAACCGCCCCAAGCACGCCCTGTATGGCATCACAGCCGGCGGCAACGCCTTCGCCAGCAGCCTTGCAAGTGGCCTTGGGGGCCTCGCTCGTCATCCCATCCAAGGTGCTGAAAAAGAAGGTGCGCTAGGTTTCGTGAAGGGGGTTGGTAAAGGTCTGTTAGGTGTGCCTACCAAGGCGGCAATCGGCGCATTCGACCTCGCGTCCAACATGGCGGAAGGCGTACGCAACACCACCACCGTCTTCGACCAAGAAGGCCTGGACCGCGTCCGGCTCACCCGGTTTATTGGGCAAGATGGCATCGTGCGGCCATATTCCCAACGTGAAGCCCTGGGTCAATTCTGGCTGAAGACCCTAGATAACGGAAAATACTTCAACGAAGATTATATCGCGCACTTGGAGCTCCAAGGCAAGGAAAAGTTGGTTATGTTGACATATAACGGGATCATGCTGGTTAGGACAAAGAAGCTGCAGATGGAGTGGGATGTACCACTCAAGGATATTCAGACTATTAGTAAGGAGAGGACGGGCATGAGCATTGTGCTGAAGGGGGGAACGAACGGGCCGTTTGTGCCAGTTGTAGAGGAGGGGGCAAGGAATTGGTTTTATAAACAGGTGGCTGTAGCAGTGAATGCGTGGAATGATCGGTGGAATGCTAAAGGCTAGGGGGGATTGGGATAGGTGGATGGTGTGGTGGCTTGCGGTTGGGGTTGGGGCCGAGGTTTGGAGGGGGAAATAGTACTGGGGTTTGGGGCATAGCGGGGGTTTAGGTTCAGATTGTTTCTTTCTGTCTTTTTTCCTTGAGAGAAAGCGTGTTTTATACCGTGTATACATCTGAGTGGTTTAAAGTACTTTTCTTATGGGTCGTGCATGACTGAGATGGGTAATGAGTACACTAGAGGAATGGAAGGTCCCCTCACGGGTGCGATAGTCTTACAGAGTCTCTATGAAATCATTAGAGTGTCGGGTTTTTTCTAAGTCTCCCAATATTAATAGGCAAATAGACGATATCAGCTAGGCAACATAGAGCAAAGTTAACTCGAAACACCTACATTATAAGGCACTAAAAGTAGTCACAATGTCCTAGCAGTAAGGCCCTCTTGTCTCCTTCCTTAATTTTAATCTTCTAGACCTCTTATTAAGATTTAGTACCATGACATATTCAAGATCCCTTCACAGTTAACTTAATCTCTTTGGCCCACAAAAGGGCCAACAAACGCTCCACCCAGGCACGCACACTTCATCTTAACTCTTGCTCATAATTTATAAATTATGTTCGCACATCACTACTTCTCAGAAGTCTGAAAGTAAACATAGCATAGTTTACACTCGCATCGAAGATATAGCTTCCGCTACGAAGAACTACACTCTAGCCACTACATTCTCCCCACTCCCCTTTAAACCCCACAAATTCACACAACCCCAGTATACATCACCAAAAAGCAAAGCACACACCCAACACCATCCTCAAATCCACTCCCCAAATCCACTCCTTCCGAATCCCTAACACGTCAAGAGAGCTATACCTCAAGGCTCGGGCTCCTAGCCCTCTTCCTCGGCAACTGCGCTAACTGCATCTTCTTCCATTCATCTGACACCTCTTTAACTCGTTCTTCTTGTGTAGCTGAGCACTTCGTCTTACCTCCTGGTGGTGGCGGAAACATCTTGATCAGCTGGGCTGCTATGTCGGGTTCTTCTGGATCTGAGTCGTGGAGCTCGTGGATTACTTTGCTTTTCTTGGATGGGGAGGAGGTGGCGATTATGGGGGTGTAGGCTGGGAGGGTGAGGGTCTGCAGAGTAGATTAGTTGGGTGAATGGGGAACTGGAAAAGAGGGAGTAAGGGTAGGGGACTTGCTGGATTACCTGCAGCTCCACAAGCGCCGGCATCAAGAAGCAATTTCCTACGCTGCATAGCTGTCGAAGAAGAAGCAGCATCAATTAACTGCGTGGATGTCACGGCTCGCAAATCGTGATCCACTCTCTCCATACCTGGTTCAACATGCTCAGATTGTACGTCCCTGTTCACGGAAAATTCCAAATCCGTATAATCATCTTCCTCACTCGATTCCTCACCCTTAGATCTGTCTACAATCGGATTCTCACCCGACAACCGCGTGAACGGCCCTCGCGCGCTGTGAGCTGCCATTTTTAGCTCACTCTGCAGAGTTGACGAGGGTGCTGGAAAATTCTTCGGGCACGTAGGCTGTGGAGTGGGAGTAAGAGGGCCTGGGGGAGTGTTAGTGATTGTCGTTTCAAGCTGGGACGTTGGGTGGCTGGTTACTACTATAGTGAATTACTGATAGAGGTGAGGGAGTGTGGTCGGAATCGAAATCGAGCGGTTCTTGTTTGATTAAGGTTGGGGGTGCGGGTTGGCCTGATATTCGATGGGTGAAGGCGTGCAGGAAGATTACTTCTTCATCTGAGGAAGTGTCTTCGAAAGGTTGGGTATGGCTTCGGATGAGCTGTGAAGAATTATCGCGGGGTTTATTGACGCGGCTAATTTGCTCTGGCCAGAGGCTTTTCTCGGCCTGGGAAGGAGGTGATCTAGACGATGACATGGCTATTTGGATTGATGACCTCAGGGCTGCAATATCGAGAGTGGTGGATCGTTGGGATTTCGGGCATTTGAATATTGTTGTAGTTGGGGGTTGGCCGAGTATCGTGATGTTTTCGTCAAAGATGAGGGGAGATGCGTCTCGAATAGGAGGAGTTTGTGAGATTCTTGAAGGCCGATCTGAGTCTGTGCCAGCCACTGGGTTGAGATAGGTAGGGGAGTTGTTGAGTGTCTGGATATCTACGACATACTCATGTGTGTCAGCAGAGATCTGCGTATCGGCATCGGGCTCTATGTCTCCATATACAGAGCCTTGGGATCCAAAGCGGCCATCTTCAGATGCATATCGGGAGAGAGATTGTGATGGCGAGTTTTGCGTGGTCGCACCGGCAGATATCTGCGTATTCTCGATGGGTTCCGTCTCAGCATAGTCATCATCCAGGAATCTAACATCATCGTCATATCGTAGTGGAAATAAAGACCGGAATGCCGTTTTCTCTAAGGCTTCCTAGTTAGAATCAAGCCTAGACATTTCATCCTGATCCTCAACTGTACCCACCCCTTCCTGTATGGAGCTTGCAAACGCGACACCTTCCCCTTCCACAACCACAGGCCCGCTTCTGGCCCTAATAGGAGTAAGACCAAACATTTTCATAGCAGCCTCAACATCCGGATCCATACCCACGGGCTAATGCACTGTAGTATCCCCACTACGACGTGCAGCAACGGCATCGTTTGCAAGGTGACTGAATGCGTTGGCTATCGTTGGATTTACCTTTGGGCCGTTCTGTCTCTGACTACGGTTCAGCTGTGCAATTTGCTGTGGATATCCATATCGATCTCCATGGAAGAAAATAGTTTCCGGTCGATTCTCGCCGTCAGGTTCATTGGAGTCCCGATCGTTCCACTCTTTCTTAAATTTGCGCGCGTAGAGAGGTTTGAAAGACCGATTTGGATCTTCATCAACCTCTTTATCAACCTCTCCATCTTCATCATCCACGGTCTTCATATCGTCCTCATCAACTCGTAGGTCCAAATCTTGCTCTTCAAAATCCAGAAGGTCAACACCCTCATCTACTTCATCCTCATCTTCATCTTCAACCTTAAACTCTGAATAATCCGATTCCGCAGACCTCCCCGACACACACGACTCCTCCCTAAGGCCCCTTTCCCCATCCCCACTTAACCAAACACACGGCCCCCTCTCCTCAATCTCCGCCAACAGCAATCCATGACCATGCGCATACTCCCCACGCAAATGTTTAACAACTCGAAACAGCATCCTACAAATCTCTCTCAACCTTTCTCGATCCTCCTCTTCCGTCCAGTCCCATACTCTCCCAGACTCATTCTCCGCCCCAAAGAACCCTCCAGCCCCAGACACAGTAAGATTATGCACTAGCGATGCGAACAACCGGACATTCCAGCTCCTCCCACCACCAGCGTACCTACTCAATCGATACGTCTTGAGCGTGCGGCCGTTCAATTCGCGGACCACGTGCTCGAAAAATACATCCATATCCTCGCCGCCTTTCTCGAGGCCCTCGCGTTTGAAGCGTGGGTGGAGGAGGTAGGAGTCGCGGTACGTTGTCCAGGGGGTGATAAAGGCTGGGTTTAGGATTAGGGTGGTGATGAGGGTTATGGTGGAGGGGATGTTGAGTGTAGTGAGGATTTTGTGGAGGGAGGTCGCCATGAAGGCGTGTTTGGATAGCGAGGGGCATGCAGGGGAGGCGGCTTGGATGCAGGATAGGATGGTCGAGATGGGCTGCATGGGCGTAAGCGTGGGCGTGGTCATGGTTGCGTTGAGCTTAGTTGAAGGGAAGGGAAGGAATGTAAGGTGGAGTGGATGGTGGAGTTAGAAGCCAAGTGTGTGTGCGCGCAGAGATCCAGGCGATGTGGAGGAAATTTGAAAACCCCGAGACAGGAATTGTTGTTATTGTGCAAGAACCTCTGTTGTGGACAACGATGTCGTGTTTACAAACACAGGGCAATTACATCAAACGCGCCTGTGCGTGCAGTTGATATGAAAAGTTGGAAGTGATAATATACAGGTGACCTTAGCTCCCATACGAAAGCTTAGAGGGCAACGTAAAGGTTGAGGATGGCTCTACATGCTCGCGCCTGACTAGTGTTGGCGTCACAAGGGTATCAGGTCGTCCACCCAAACGCACCTGTTTCCCTTTGCGCAGCTACTCCGACCTATTGTGTGGGATATTGAATTAGAATTAAGATGGATTCATAAAGGAAAGGGATAATCTGGGTAAATAGGTCAGAAAAACTCTCTTTCAAAACACTGTCCTTCATAGGAGGTAGTATCAGGGGTATGATTAGCAGAGTTTTAGGGGAAGAAAATATTAACAAGAATTGAAAGAATTAAATAAAGCTATTAAAAGATATGCCTTACATCTAGGCCAAAATTTTTAAAGAGGGCTGAGAGCCCCCACGCTTGTTTTGCAGCTTGAAGGGTAACCAACATTCCCCATATTGCATCTTGGTGCATCAACATTTGCTCCAAAGGCATTCCTACGTTATCTTAGCTGGCCGTCTTTTTATTCAGATCTCCCATAAGGAACTGAAGGTATCCGGGCTATGGTATCAATATGCCTGCTGTCCTCCTTGTCTATTGTTGGATCTCACTACAGATGCAAACCTTCTGAAGCGCGACCAATCTTCGCACCATTTCCTCATGGTATGTCTCTTAACACCTATTGTTGGGAAAATCATATCTTGTCGAACGTATCGAGCCTCATCCATCATCAAGATAGTACTGATACGGAAGCTCTCCTTCTTCGGGGCTTTGTCGCAGTCTCACAACAGATCGCGCAGACCTCAGCGACGAAGAAGAAGATGATGATGAATTCGGCAAGATGGTCGATGGACTTCGCTGCAGTTGCCTTATTCTGACTGATCCAGAGCCCAATGACCTCTCGGATGGAGTTCGCGGTAAGATGTGTCCACCAGAACTGAAATTACGGCGAAAGGACAGTGCAGTGCGAACGGTTTGCGGACTCTCGCTGCCATCACGATGAGATGATACAGCCTCGGTATGGGAAAATTCGGCTTGTCCGGCAAGACGCGGGGTACGGTAGCGTATTGCTGAGCCTGTAGAGCTACTTGATGATTGTGAAGGGGCAAGGCTGCGGATATCAGATTCGACATCCTCCACTCGCACTTCTTCAATAATAGCAGGGTCCAGCTCTGTCATCCCGTTGAGAATATCTGCGAAGACAGCCATTAAGTTCCGGAATTCGGGTTCTGGGAGAGGCTGGGTGGAAAATCGGGCGTATTCGTACTGGGCGAGGAACTTGGGGCCGAGACTGGCAGGGTTGATCAAACCATATGAGGATAGTCGGCTTAGATATTCGCGTAGGCCCATCGGCGCTGGTCGCTGGAGCAGGGCGACTACCTGTGCATCAGGTAACATTGGTGTATTGTCTTCAGCATGTGCTGGTCCTTCTACAGCTGGATCCCGGGGGGCAAGGGAAACAGCTTTCGCTTCAATAAGATTAGGAAGTTCAGTGATGACGCTCCAGTACTGAAGATTGGGTAGATCGTCCGATGCAGGCGAAGCCCACCCCGGATGTGATACACGGCCCCATGGAGGGGAGGCCGCAGCCACTGGAATGATGGTAGACTCTAGAAAATTGCTCCGCCTCTTGAACGCCGAGTGGTTTCGTTCTGCAGTGGACGGCCTTGCCCCACCCTCTCCATCATCTCGTACCTCTCCCCGAACGTCCCGCGGATTAGAGTCCCACGCGACAATGGCGCTGCGCTTCAATACCTTCACGATCATGCGCCGGACTATCTTGCCCACCTCTCCATCTTCGACTGGTATGTACGATTTCGGGATGGCTTGTAGGACAGTGCGGTTGGTGTACAGGCGCGTTGAGTAGACCAGGAGAACGATGAGGAAGGTAAGGACGTACACGCCGCCGATGACGAAGAGCTTCTGAAGCTCGTTGCTGCGGATGGATTGGTAGATGGTGTCGCCCGGGGTGACGGCGAGTAGGACGATGAGGATAAAGAAGAGGACGGTATACGTTGTGCTATACCAGATGCGGAAGAGAGGGATGCGAATATGCATATTAGCATTACATTACATGGTGGACAATGTGTTTCAGTATCGAATGCCTGCCGTCGCGATGACAGACGTGACGTGACGTGACGTGACGTGAACGCAGTTGCCAAGATTCACCCATTCGCTTTCCGAGGCACAGTCACGTGCACGGAAACTCAATGCTCACCTCACATCTCTTCAAGCATTCTACCTCTCACCATCTCACCTGAAATGATCTTCGCTCTGTTCTCGTCGCATTCCCAGCTCTCTTTGCCTGCGCGGGTTATGCCCACTACCTCTTGTTCTCTTTAAATGGCAGGCTGAAATGAAATTGCTGGCTTCCATGGCAGGCGCACACTGGGGGCTGAAAGTTCACACCTGGGTCTCAACTCTGACAGGCCATTTTGGAAAAGAAATGCTCTTTTTATCTCGTGTAACAGTCATCTTCTCGTACGAGCATCTGCTTTTACCATTTTCCCCCGTTCCTACGTGGTCCTTGAACCTTTGAATTGTCCTTTAGGTGTATCAATAGCGCGTCTCACATCATCGCTCGCACCTGAGCCCCCAAAACGAGCCTCGTGCCTGGACGCCAAGTGCGGCACAGTGGCCCGATCCAGAAGGATTTGCATCGCTACGACCCTGTTGCGCGACACTTAAGGTTTTCTCTGGAGCTGAGTACTGTGTCCTTCGTGGCTGGCTGAGGTCCCCTCATCTAGCGCTCCAATGCTCACAAATATTCTTCTCCGCATGTGAGGTCAAAAAAGTCCAGCAGTCAACAGTGCAAGCTGAGGAACTCTCAGAGAGGATTAACCAAAGATCTTCTTAAAATCGCCCCGCATCCATAGTGTGGCGCAAAGCATGGCTGCGCCCCTCGAGGTACCTCCCTCGAGAACCATATCCAGTATCAAAAATAGGCGCTGCGAACGCATGTTGCTGTGCCGTAAAGGGCGCTAGCACAACACACCAAGCAATTGCTTGTATCTTGTCTGGTCCGAAACCAAGCTGAGGCCACCAGCTGACCTTACTGCTGGAATAGCCCGCTAGTAGCCTTCATCCGGACTTGAGGAACAGACCACCCAGCCTTGTTGGTGTGAGGGTCAGACTGGAAAGCCTCAGAGTCTGATGTTGCCCCATGCGCAGCTGGTGGTCCGGCTGATGGTGTGTAGCAACGAGATTCGTGCCGTTTAATTGGAGAGGGCTGCCTTTTTGCCTGCTATAAGTTTCCTTTCCCTCGTATCCCAAATCTTGAGGGCGCACAAACCCTTGGCCTACTTTTTCTTCCCTAAATTCCAGTGCTTTTCCTTACTTCTATTACCGTTCATTCGTACCATTTTAGACCCTTCTAAACCAGTTTCAACACTTGCCTAGGTTGGCGCTTGGCTGTTCTATCAACAATGTCCCTCACAGCGCCTTACACCAATGCCATGCGCGTATGTTTAAGTTTTTCGTTCAACCATCAGTAACTAACCTGCTCTAGATTGGCCAAGGCTTCAACACATACACACAGGAAATACGACTGGAGAATGCTGTCCGGATTGGCTCAAGCAGAAAGTCGGTGGAGCTGAAAGAAAGTCTTTCACCGACAGTAAACAATGCACCACTGACGCCTCCGGTTACTCCTGATGGATCTAATGCTGTTGGACCCCTCGGCGACATTCCAAGTGTAGCCATCAATGGGGTTCCAGCGAAAGCAGCAGAAGCTAGTAGTGTCCCCAATGCCCCTTCCCCTCCATCTACGCCCAAGCCGGAGAGCATGGGTTCTGCAGTCGACATTGTGACACCACCTCTGGACGACTTGCCTTTCGAACTACCAGCTGGTCCTGGCCCGTCAACCAGCCAAAGCGTAACATACTCAACTCGCGCCATAGAGAACGTGAGTGACATCATGGATGCGCTCAACATCTCGACTTCAATGTCCATCAAGTATGGAACAATTCACGGCAACGGCAACGCCTCATTCGTAAATGAGAATAAAGTTCTTGACAGCGAGCTTAATTACGTCGTCAGCGTCATCGTCAACAACGACGAGAGGGCTGCAATTGAAGAAATGGAATTCCAGGATATCCCAGGTCTGCCAATTGAGCGGTTCACCGAAGTTTACGGCGACAGCTTCATCTCTGGCTTCACTGAAGGAGGGGAATTCAACGCTGTTATTTCTGTCAAACTGAATGACAAGAGCAAACATAGGGCTGTCAAGCAAGCAGTTGATGTTCAGCTTGCAGTTGGTCCTCCAACTTTGGAAATAGGAGCAAAGGAAGCTATCGACAAAGAACACTCTGAAGCTTTGAAGAACACTGAAATCTCTATATCCGTGAACTGGGTTGGCGGAGGTGAGATCAAAAAGCCCAAGGTCCCATGGACAATCAAGAGCGTTGTCGCCGTCGCAAACGCGTTCCCTTCCATGGTGGCACGATCTTCGGCAAGAACGCAAGCTATCTTGACAAGGTATTCCTCTCTGAGGAGTTTCCAAGCCTGGAAATGGAGCAGACTTCTTGAAGAACGACGTATCTGGGAAAGTGACCCAAGGAACCAAAAGGGCGGAGAACACAATAAAGACGGGAAAGAGAGATATGAGGAGCCCGTCATCATTCTAAACTATGTTCCGTGCTCTCTCTACACGGCGGATCTGTTCGACGCACTGATGAATTACAAGAAGTTGTGGAAGATGATTGGAAAAAGTAGGCAACGACTGAATCACCCACTCTTCAATCAGAAGCTAATTGTGTCGATAGTGCTTCAAGACACGTCGAAATACAAGATCAGGTCAGGATTACCGAAGAATGCCTTTCAAAAGAAGCCTAACACTAGCACACTCTCCCCTATACTGACAAAGGGGGTTCTAAAGCAGGGCATGGCTGACAGCCCTGTATCCGGTGGCTCCCTGTCGCCGTGCCAAGGTAAAGCCGTCGAGACCTCGGGGATGGAACGTGCCTTCACCTTTGCCGTTGATGAGGGTGCTCCGGGCTGGAACCTGCTGGAAAATAACATGTGCCGCGACCCGATTCCACCAGAGCCTGTGGCACTGAATGAGGCTAGGTTATTATGCAGAGAAGCTATGACTTTGATTACCGAGGAGGTAGGTTTTCGTCTTTCCTAAGGAGGATCTCCTAAGCTGATTCATCACCTCCTAGGCCTCAAGATTAGTTGATCATCCTCACCTCGCATATGCAGACTACAACGACAAGACCAAGCAAACTCGAATGAAGCGGCCGAACTACGCATACCCTGAGGTGCTGAAGGAGAGACTCCCAATACCAATTCACAACGATATCCGCTCCGATCTATCCACCGACGGCGCATATTTGAAGACATTAGCTTACGCCAATGAAGACAACATCTGGTTCGAGCCAGACATGGTCGGAGACCCGAAAGCCAATGACGCTGACCTGGACAAGAAATTTGGCAACAGCAAGTACGAAGACTTCAGCACACTAGAACTCACCGAACCGCAAGGCTCAAAGTTGGCAAACCCGTTGCGACGCCTTGCACTCCACCGGTACCGACCGAGCTTGGGCATATTTGCAAAGTCAGCCCTGAAGCAAGCCGAAAATGCCATCGGAGCAATCGGCCTTGCACGTATCCGAGATGATCCGGCTGCTGCCGAAGCGGATGGTTGCGTGTACCACCTCGGCCACTTGCACCACAGCGACAAGGACAAGGCAGATACCTTCAAAACCCTGGAGCTTGGGAACGTTGATATCACCAAGATCGACATCCAGTACATCCCAGGCTCTGGGTACATATGCGGGTTAACTTTTTTTGACGAGATCGACGGCCAGCACACAGAGCGGTTACGATGGAAGCAGTGGGAAAGCAAAGAGCCCGAAGGACTGGTTCATATCACCAACGAGCCTCCGGATCGGGGCGATGGCACCGTGTGGAAGTTTGTGGGATTGGCCGGATCCTGGATTAATACAGTTGGACACGGCCATGTGCTTGCAAGGATTACTGGAATCTGGAAGAAGGTCAGCGATGAGTAATTGTGCATGCTTTCGATGGTGGAAGGGGTGGAAGGGGCGTTGAGGAGTTATGTGTTTGCTTTTTATTGGGTTCGCATACGGTACGAGGAGATCGGCGGGATAAAGGAAGCCGTGTCCTGTGTAAGTTTGGGGACGTGGACGAGTATGCGTAGTAGTGCTACTTAATTGAGGTAATCAGCTATATGAATATTGTTTGAATATCGTGCCTTTCCGAGCGATTTCGCCCGATCAGAATGAGGACGAATGGACAACGGGTTTTTTACAGGTGACGCAAGCGCCCAGCCCTCACGGGACCACGAACCGATGCGGCCTATTTCTTGATCCCCCGGATCTTCAGAAGGCACCAGATGAACCTTTATCATCCCCCAAGGGCCCCAACTTCGGACGTGGTCCGGCATCACGCCAAATTCAAGCTTCCCGACCACCGAGTCACTCGCAGCTGCGCTTTAGCCGCTGCAATATTAGTGATTCGACGCGGACTCCGGGCCGATCCCTACACAGAACTGCCCCTCGTCGCCCACGGTCCCACCATTCCACATCCAAGCAAACTCGGGTCGAGGTGGGCTGCTGCAGCACCCAGCCCTCACTACTGTACGATATCCCAAGAGAGACGCCAGTCACGAGAGGACCAGACCAAAACATGTCCATAAAGTGAGTCTTTGCCCCTGTCCTGTACTTGCATCCTCACTCTGGCCCTGGCTTTACCCCGCGAAAAGCTCAGGTGCGAGAGCTAGGGTTTGGCTGCCGGCCCTACGACTTTGCCAATCCATAGCTCAGCTCCACGCCCTGGCGACTCACGCCCGCTATGAGGGGAAACAAGTCTAATCGCAAGAACAGCTGGGTGATGCTTGCCGAAGCAGGCGGCTACACTCCCCTCCCTGGCGAACAGACACTCTACACATCACCACCGAGAACCACGCTATCTGTCCAGAGCAACACTCGCCTTCCCCCAAGCCAAGCATACTCGGTGCAGTGTAGGTCAGGCATAGTCTATCTGACCAACAGACGAGTATGTCAAACTCAGACCTCCATCTCCTCCGCGCGCGCATCGCATCTCATCATATTACATCACATTCCCAAGCTAACTTCACATGTCAATCACAGGTAATCTACCTCCCCGTCACGCCCTCCCCCTCCCTCCAATCCTTCGCCGTCCCCATCCTCAACGTCTCAGACTCCCGCGTCACAGCCCCCTGGTTCGGCGCAAACAAATGGGAAGCCGTGATCCAACCCGTCTTCGGCGGCGGCATACCCCCGCACCACGCGGAACTCGAACTCACCATGGAATTCCGGGAGGGTGGCGCATTCGACTTTGCAACCACATTTGAGCGGCTACGAGAGCGGCTACGGCAGGCTGTGGACGTAGCGAGGGAAAGCGGGTTTGCAACTGGCGATGGTGCAGAGACGGGCGGTGGGCAGGGAGGAGGCGCGCTGCAGGGCGTGAATCTCAATTCAGTGCATTTGGAAGATTTGCCGGCGTATGAGGAGTCGAGGGGGCATGCGGTGCTGCGACCAGAGGAGGAGCTGCCAAGTCCACTGATCGCCGGAGGGAGAGGGAGGGAGAGGGACAGTGGGGTGGGGACGGAGCCTGAGACGACGAATAAAGAGAGTCCGTTGGGGAGTCCACAGCAGGAGGGTTTCCAGCCACCGTCGGAACCGCCACCAGGGTATGAGGAAGTGCAACGGGATAGTGTGGCGGATGAATTGGAAAGGATGCTAAGAAGGGCGGAGGAACGAGAAGAGCGATGATGTCAGTCAGGGACGATTGATTATTGCTGTTATAATTCGGTGGGAAGTGTGCATCTACTGTGTGTGTATTTACACTCCGAAGCACGGCGTTGACAGGAAAGACCACTCTATGATTACTTGCACAATGGAATGTCACGAGGACTATCCGGGGCGGCATTTTGGAACTTTTCTTGCACGAGGTCAGCCGGCATCGGGCGGCTCTTTGGTCGAGAACTAGGATCTAACGTCCTGAATAATGATATTTCATTTTCGACACCATACCTTGCAGTCAAAACATGCATTCACTTCAAGAAGATTTCTGCAGACGTGATTTTGGACGGCTTCCTAGAATTCCGCTCCATTCCTTCTACGCAAGGCTTCCATTGTCCTCCGACTTCTAAGTTCACGCTCAAAATCTTCCGGGGTTCCTTTTTCAACAATGACAGGCACATGACAATCAAAACTCCACAGAGTGGATCTGACGCTTTTGGCATGTGAACTCATCCTGCATGTGAAAGCTGGGGTGCCGCGACGCTAATCCCTAAGCAGAAGTGCCGAGGCATTTCAGGGACGCCGATGACGACCCACTTGTCATCGTAAGTGCGACCTCATAAGCACCGGAGCTCTCCCTTTTTGCTTCTTGCTCTCCATTTCAAGCTCCTCTGACAACCCTTTGACCCCTTTCGTATATATATTCGGGATTTCACTAAAGATTTCATCATGGCGAACCAGACTGGACGTGGACAGCAGGGTATGTTTTAAAACTATAGAGAATAGATATATTCTTATGTATATATATAAGATCGCTGATTGTCTGTCGTAGCGCAAGAACGACTCTCGCAAGTTAGTAGCCATTTGAGTGGAAGCTCGAGTCAGAAGGGGAAACAAGCCCTTTTAGAGAAGAATCCTGATGATGTAGGTCACTTGTTCATATTTCTTGGAAGCTGGGGTTGGACACTTCGAGGGGCCAAATATGTCCTAGTTCTAGTTCAGCTCTACTTTCCTTCCTTCTACTTTCGTTACATATTTAACACGCACTCATCAGATTGTAATAACTTGCGCCCTCCGCACGCCTATAACCCGGGGCGGCAAAGGCGGTTTTAAAAACACCGCCTCCGCGGACCTCCTCCATGGTGCCTTCACTGCGCTCATCCGCCGCTCCGGAATCGACCCCTCCCTTGTCGAGGACATCGCCGTAGGCACCGTGCTAGCCCCCGGTGGCGGGGCAACTGAATTCCGCGCCGCTGCCCTCGCGGCCGGTTTCCCGGTAACTACGTCCTGTAAATCGCTGAACCGGCAATGTTCCAGCGGTCTCCAAGCATGCGTCGATATTGCGAATGCGATTAAAGCGGGAATGATCGAGATTGGGATCGGGGCTGGTGCGGAGAGTATGAGTTCGCAATATGGACCGCAAGCTGTTACCGAGTTTAGTGAGTTATTGGAGGGGCATAAAGAGGCGGCGAACTGCAAAGTGCCTATGGGTGTGCTATCCGAGAAGATGGCGAAAGCCAAAGGTATCCCGCGCTCCGAGCAAGACAAATTTGCGGCGTCGTCGTTCCAGAAAGCGGTACGGGCGCAGCAACAAGGGCTATTTGATGAAGAGATTGCGCCGTTGACAGTGAAGTGGACGGATCCAAAGACGGATGAGGAAAAGACGATTACGGTTGCCAAGGACGATGGTGTTAGGGAGGGTATCACGGCTGAGAGTCTCGGTAAGATTCGTCCCGCGTTTTCGAAAGATGGGAGTATCCACGCGGGAAACGCGAGCCAGATCTCCGACGGTGCTGCCGCCGTATTACTCATGAAGCGTAGCACCGCGCAACGTCTCGGTCAGCCTATCATCGGCAAATTCGTCCAAGCCTCCGTTGTGGGTGTCCCACCGTTGCTCATGGGTGTTGGCCCCGCTGCTGCGATTCCTGTGGTCTTGCAGAAAACGGGCCTGGGGAAGAATGATGTTGATATCTATGAGATTAACGAGGCGTTTGCGAGTCAGTGCCTTTACTGTATTAATGAGCTTGGGTTGGATATGGAAAAGGTTAATCCGAAGGGCGGAGCTATTGCTTTTGGGCATCCGCTAGGGGTTACTGGTGCGAGGCAGGTTAGTACATTGTTAACCGAGTTGAAGAGGACCGGGAAGAAGGTCGGGGTTACGAGTATGTGTATTGGTACTGGGTAAGTTTATAGCCCCCACCCCTGGTCTTGGCTTTGACTGATGTGTGGTCAGGATGGGCATGGCGGCTGTTTGGGTCGCTGAGTAGACTTAGAGTTGAGAGGAAAGAAAAGAGGTATTTTCTTAGGTTCTTATATGCATTTGTATGAGTACTATTTCTCGTAGGCATAGATGGCTGGCTAGTTGGAGTTTCAATCAAACCCAATTCGGCCCTGTATGATCTCGTTTGTGTAGAAGAAGGCCATGTGACCTCTTGTAACTTGTTGGCAATACAAGCCATAGCAATAGTCTTGGCATTCAGTACCCCGCATATATCACTAGCATTGGTATTATCGCAGGTGTTCAGGTGTGGTGATTGAGATTTATCGGCCCTTTTCACACGTAAAATTATTTTGCTAAATCGGAACCTACTTCGACAGCCAGCGTCTAGTTCCCTGTTGGGGCATCATACCTCTCATCCCCTAAAAATGCCATAAGGGAACTTCACCATGCCACAGTAAAGCTAAATTGATTCCATCAGTCATGATCTCGTTCCGAAGTTCAAATATCAGTGCCTGGGTTCAGTAGAACGGGTTCGCGATTTCCTAACTGGCTCTCAAATAAAAGTTAGCCCACCAAACTTGTAAGGGCCTTTTATTAGTCTATATATCGTAGAATATACGAGAGTAGACCCACTCCAAGAAACTGGATTAGCGTTGAAGCTTGCTCTTGGGAAACTGGGCTATATGGCTTACTACATGTCGTCGGCAATTTGCAACCGACATATGCAATATTAGGAAGAAATTGTGGCAGCAACATTCTTGGACCAAGGAATGCGTTTTCAGAAAGATGAAGTTGACGGATTCTTAGAGAAATTGAATGTAGAACTTTCAACTGAACTAAGTCAACATACGTATAAACGTAAGGTCGGTGTTAAATTGACACGAATCGCCCAGGATATTGAATACATTCTTTGCACTTCCTTCGTCGACGAATTTCTTGAAGCCCACTAACATCCAAGGTGATAGCACCTCACAAATCAAGATGTGGGCAGCTAAGTAGCTTTAATGAACAAGACTTTCATTTGAAGTCATGGAGAGGAGGACCATGCCAGATATAGCAGCACGGGACAAGGTTTGTTCCCCCTTCCCCCCCTTTCTGCAATTACCTCCCTGTGACCTCTGAACCCAGCTCCATCTCTTAAAGCACTTTCGGGCCCTTCTATGCGCGTGCTGGAGATTACCATGACGCTCTGGGGCTAAGACGACATGTTGGATTGCTTGGTGTGCTACAAGATCTACATAGATCACTCTGCATACGCCCGTGAACGATTTCCGTCGCCAAGGCTGCTCGAATTCGTGGGGGGTAGAAAGTTAAGGGTAGAGTAGGGTAAAGGGGTGGACAAGGTAGTAGAGATTATAGCCTCTAAGAAATTTATATTGCTATAGAAAAATGTGGTTTATTCCATGCCTTTCGAGAGTGCGTTGCTACAATCTTAAAATATGGGTCACAAGCCACCATTCCATGTTCTAACAGCTACTGAAAATTCTCATACCGACTAAAAATAACCCCACTTATTGCGATAACTACTAATGTTCCGGTTATCAAAGCCCACTGTGCGGCCAGCTCCTTGAATCGCTCTGCGTACCCTACAATGCGATGGCTAGGGTGCTAGTGAGTCTCGCCAAAAGCGCCAGCAGGGTAAGTAACCTGCTAATCTTAAAAATCGCTGAGTCTGACTTGGTGTGGGGCCTTATAGCCAAGGCATTGAAAGATGCTAGAGGGTTAGGTAGAGTATGCGTAACTATGAGCCTGTAGGATAAACCCTCCCGTGGCAGCATAAAGGCAGAGATTCTGTCTTACCTAAGTATTGAATTCTAAAAGCAAGACATATATACTATTCCGCACACGAATCAACCACTAGTTGATTATTCAAACCTTTTTGTTGTAATGGCGGAGGGGTGCGGAGCCCCGTCCTTACACTAAATCTCGAGTCACTCAGCTTTGAGATGCGATGAATGTGAATTGAAATATGTTACATGCGGGCTTGTAGTACATTAGCCAGAATTGTCCTATACCTAAGCTTGCGTCCACATTGCCCAAAGCTCTCTTGGGCGCACCCTTTCTAGAGCCATAGTGACTGCCTTGAGAATGCAAAGTCACCTCTGGCACACTATGGCTGGAGACTTTGGTCTATTTAAAGGCTTCTCGAGGAGTTATACAAAGGAGTTACGGTAGAGGTAGCACTGTGGAGGCAGCCTCCGTCAGCTGCGCATAGTGCAACCATCCATGATGAGAAGGCGGCTGGTGACCTCTTTTTTTATCGTCGCGTAAAATCTGACGACATTGAAGGGTGTTTCGTGCTACAATGATCCTTTTAAACAATTGGTTCATTCGGTTGTGGAACCCATGCCCGAGAAAATGTCAACTACCTGTACACCCTTCTTGTACTATGTAAGCCTTCACATTCACATGCGCCAACTCAAAACACATAAAACAAATCTACAGAAAGTATTAATCCATGATAGGTACGACGCCTTAATCCATGAGGCTGAGTACTGGACATCCTTTGACGCCTTCCCGGCTAGAAACGTTTCTAGAACTGGCTGCCCTGCAACGCTTTCAGGATCCGGACAGTTTCGATACAGTCCAAATAAATGTACAGTGTTCGGTGTCGGGAACGCCGACCCTTAGGTCTATGGAAGATATAGAAATGCGCGGACGCGGGGATTCAGAGTTTCAAGGAAAATTTCATCAACCGCCTACACATATCTACCGATAGAGACTCATATGTAGACATGTATGCACATATAAGGGATTATCACAGCATTTTACAAGCTCACCCGCAACATATAGCTAATGTTTTTGTACTAGATAGAAACCCTGTCCTGGGATTAGCCCAGCCATCTAGGATTAGGGATTCACGTTGTATCAGTCCCTTCATCGCCTGCACCACCTAGCATACTAAACTGCAAACCCAGCCTCAAAAAACAGGTTAGAGCGCCATTAACTCCTGTATCCCATCGCTGCCCTACCCACCCATGACCCTCACCCCCCATAGCATCTCTCCTATCTCTCCCATCTACGCAACCCCCATACCCACAAGCACCAACAAAGCAACATTCATAACCACAATGACACCCCAGATCAGAACCGCAAAAACGGCTGTAATCCAATGATTCCGCATCTGCACCGATTCTTCCACTGCCTCTTCCACCTCAACTACGCCATCCCTCTCACTAACATCACGATTGTTCCTCACTGAAACCTTCATATATCTCCCCCGACACGTGAACCAGAGCAAGGGGGCACTAACAAACGGCAAAATAACACTAAGCGCAACCTGACTCCCCTGCAACGCCTTCCCCAGGCCCTCCCTCCCCACCGCCCCCGCAATAATAATAGATGGCGTGATACTAATCAACCTCGTAATCAATCTCCTCAACCACGGTTTCAATGTCCAATTAAGCTGGCCCTCCGATACTATTTGCCCAGAAATCGTACACACAATGCCAGCAGACGTTCCAGACAGCAAGAGCGCGAGCGCAAACAGGGTCCCCGCGACGGGCGCGAGCGTACGGGAAAGAAGATTGTGGATTGTGAAGAGATCTGCGTCGGAGGCTTCAGGGAGGCCGTTTAGAGAGGCACCCGCAACGATTAGGATCGAGCTGTTGACGAAGAGGGCGAAGGTGAAAAGTGAGATGGCGAGTTCGACGATGGAGTAAGACATGCAGGATTGGATTGCAGCAAGGGAGGGCCTGTATTTGATTTCGGAGTCGATGGAGTCGGTTTCGCTGGTTAAGGAAGGATTGTTGGCGTCGTCGTATTCGCGGAGGCGTGGCTGGACGATTCCGCTGCCTAGGTAGAGACTGTGAGGCATGACGGTAGCGCCCAGGATACCGCAAGATTGGAACAGTCTTGTGCATGTTAGCGCATGGGTTTTAAGGTGAAATGGTGCACTGACGCTTGGGACTTGATGAGGGTAGCAGAGGGGATATATCCTCGGAAGACGTCCCCAACAGATGTATTCTTGATCTGGCTGAGCTCAAAGCAGAAGCAAATGGCCACACCGAAGACCAAGACCATGACAAACCCCTCGAATGCTCTTAGACCCCGCATCGTGCCAGATGGATGGTAGAAGATTAGGATAATGAGCACGTCCACAATGGAAATGGCACAGCCAGCGACTAGAGGGACATGAAGGAGAATATTTAGGGCGATTGCAGTTCCAATGACCTGTTCAAAATCAGCACAAGTAGTATAACCCATGGGGGAGAACATACCTCTGCAATATCGGTCGCGATGATAGCTGATTCTGCGAAGAAATAGAGGACATAGTTGAGCCATGGAGGTAGATGAGCCTTGCAGTTTTCAGCAAGGTTCATTCCAGTGACGGAGCCAAGTTTGATACACAAAGACTGAAGAAAGATAGCGAATATGTTTGACATTAACACAATGAACAGAAGTTTGAATCGAAAAGAAGCACCGGCTGCGACATCAGTGGCATAGTTACCTTGAAATAGGAGTTAGTTTTGGTCTGATATTGGCTGGTAGGGGAAATGGCATTGAATATGAGCTGGCCGTCTCGAGGAGGGTATTTTGAAGCAGAAGTAGACAAATACCATGCTAATAGGAGGACATAAATTGGGCTATAAAAAAGGACTTACCCGGATCGATATATGCAACGGCAACCATGAAGCCAGGTCCAATGAATTTGGAGTATTTGACCATAATTTGAGCAGCCCTCTTGTACAAGCCGTGAAAAGCCAGTTGCCAGTCCCTAGCCATCCTCCTAGCATAGACTCTTGACACAGGGGAAGCAGCAGTGCGGGAACCTAGGTGTTTCCCACTTTGCACTACGATATTACCCTGGCCATCAAGGGCCTTTAGTCGAGCAGTGGTGTTGTCTCCGTCTGTAGCATGGTTTTCGCTGAGTTCTATCTCAGCATGAGAGGAGTCGGCAAGATCTATCCGGTGGTCTTGCTGCCGTCTGGCATTTGAGATGTGTTCAAAGTCGGCTCGGGTGGTCGCGTCGGCGTTGAGATCAGGCGGATTCTGGTTCCAGCCCTCATTGTGGACAGGGTCAGCCCGGGATGGACAATTCATGGTGGCGTGGGAGAAGGAAAGGGAAGCCACAAGGGCTGTAGAGGCGTCTAGGTCGTTCTATCGAGGAAGAGTTGAGGAGGAAGAGAGGGACAGGAGGTGGGATGCATAAAGATGTCAACAGCGGGGCAGGGAGGGCTGATATGCGGGTGATGATATCTTCTGCGCCTTCCGGTTGGAGGTCTCGGCCTACTGTGGCCTGTTTCTTCCGATGGGATGCGCTTTCCGTGTACGTGGAGGGTTCGGAGGATGAATCCTGGCCTGCAAGTCGGTGTGCCGCTTGGAAGCTTAGAGACGGCGGTGACGAAAGCGAGTTTTCAGCCGCCCGGAACCCTTCCGCGCGCATTGCCGGCCCATCAACCACGTCAGACGACCTGTTCGCTATTTCAAGTATGTGTGTCATCTCCAAATCGGCTGTCTGGCGCAGACAATTCAGTATTCAAATTCTTTGACAAGCGGGACAAAGAAATGAAAGCTACGGAGGACATCGCTTGATCTGCGCGCTAAGTGTTGGCCTGCATGAACGCCCGTCGCGGCACAAAGCTCGCTGTATCATCATCCCTATCGTTTTTCGTCATTGTCGCAAGTGTAATAGGCTCTCGGTATCACAAGCTAATTCACATCCGAATCACATCCACATATGCGAGCAGGTACACATCGGGCTTGCTGTAGCAAAGCGGAACCGAAAAGAAGTCTTTCCCTATCCAAGAAGAACCCTCATACATCTATCTAGAGTAAGAGGCGAATGTAACTCCCGAGTAAATATTCCACTAACTTCAAAGTGCCTTGGTTCCAAGAAGAATTTCATCCCGTCGTCAGTCATCGCCGTCTGCTCCACAACCACCACCACCACTACCAACCAGGAAGAGAGAGAACAGCTAAAAACTCCATCTACATACCAAAACATACCCTATAAAAGAGACCTAGTAGAAATGAAACTGAAAATCCAGGGACGCTGATGCGCCGCAATTTGCTGGAGTCCTCGCCGGAGTCCTCGCTAGCAGTCATGTATACGGGGTGATAGATCCGTGTGCGCCCCGCCCCCACCGAACCCCCCCGCCTACTAAAGCAGACACATCCGCTCCGCATTCCATACAAGAAGACCTAACAAGTACTCGAATAATCCTGTTCGCCGATGAATGTTGCGTAGTGGTCCACCCATAGAAGTGAAGTATCGAACAGAAATCTCGTTTCCGAAACGCCAAAGTATGCCAGACCGTCCTAATGCACCCAACTTTCACCCTCATCGCTGACAGAAGAGGTCGATCTCACCCAACCCCCCGGTCGTGTTGAGATCCCGCTGCTGCTCCTTCCATGTCTCGAACGCTGTCTGCACGTCCTCGTCTGATTGTATGCTGACGTAATCGCTCTCGTCCAAGTACTTCAACTTCACCTGCCCTGTGCTCAGAGAAACGCTGGTCGACCGTTGCAGTTTCGCATCGATTCGATCTTTCAATGACTGGAAGCTGATGTTTGTACTCACAACCAACGTCATTGTGCTTCCTGCCGATGGGCAGTGCACTTTGACTTTCAGTTGTGTTGGGATGCTACTATTAGTCATATCTGGGCCTGGCGTTTGCGATGATAGTGGCGGAGACATATTCCGGGAGTCAATAGAAGCTGGGGTCATCGTGCGTTCGAACGAAGAAGCGGGGGTCATAGTCCTAGCTATGGGGGCATGACTGGTCTCTCGACGAGCTGGCCCACCATGGTATTCGGAATTTGCAAGCTCTTGCGCAGTTCGCTGCTGAACGAGCCGATCTCGCTGGATAGCAGGTGATTGTGTCGCAGCTCGTGGAGGAAGACCGTTTGGTGAGCCACTTTGGCTCCGATTGATGATTGACGAGTTGTAGGCGTAGTGTGTTGGAAAGGGCGGAACCTCTGGAACATTTGATTGTTGACCGTTAGGTAGTCGTCGGCCGGGACCGTTGGAGTTATGAATATCGGGACTGCTCGCAGATCGCAGTCGATTTTGGTTCATTATTGCTGAACCTGCATTCGGCGGTAGTGACGGTCTTTGCATACCACGACTCGTGGGGTAGGCACCTGGGGTCATGGAACCTTCGCGAGACATCGGACCGCGAGGCATGGCTGGGGCGGTGTAACGGTTATTGTCTTCGCCATAATAACCATTGGGAGGTTGTTGGCGAGGGAAGGGAAACGTTCCTGTTGAAGTCGTTCGGACAGAGGTACCAGACATTGGGGACTCAGCAGTAGGCGAGAAATATGAGTCTTGATTCCCCCCGGAGTTCGCAAGTTGCTGAGTGCGTAAGGTTAGCGCAGGCTGAGACGAATTTCCCATTGGGAAGCGAGGAGGAGGTACCCGCGGATCTAGGTTCTCCATTGGGGGCCCGCTATCCCCAGTTGTTGACCGCGAGCGCAGACTTAGGCTAGAGCCATTTGATCTCATGGCATAATTGTCATGAGGACCTGGATAGCCGGGAACGACGGTATCCACATCCTCGTCCTCGTCGTCGTCTTCGTGTTCAGCATACGGGTTCGTGAGCTGATGGTCTTGCATAGAGATGAAAGCGGTGTTTGAAGGCTGCGAACGGGAGGTGCCGGCGCTGGATCTCGAATATTCTTTCATCATGCGTCGTTGAGTGTCAACTTGTGTGGCCCATTTCTTCATCGTCTCCTCCGAATTGAAACGTATAATGAAGTTCTCAATACCTGGGTCACCTTTCCAAAATATTTGGCATGTATATGAGCCTACTCTCGGCTTAGCAGTCAATCGTGGAATTCAGCTTTCGGATAGCTCACCGGGCTTTTGAAGCGAGACAGTCTCTGTTACATTCTGCATAAATATTCGGCCTTTGAGCTGCAACTTCGGTTTCCCGTTCCTAGCCACTGGCTTATTCATCATCCGGTTCTTCTGCTTGTTGGGGTTGATTTCTTTGCAACATAGAAGGATCATCTCGAAGAGGTAAATCTTGTACTGAACAAGGATCTGTTAGTAAAAGCTCTAAGCGGTAACGGACCATTGCAGGAGCCATGATCCCATAGATACCTGATCTGTAAGAAATGTTCTACCCACCTCACGCTCCTCGTTCTTTGCGTTGACGCTTTCACCCTTCAAAACAGTGAATTGGCCGTAAAGGAGCAAGTCACCGAACCCTTCGATCCGATGCCCCTTCCAATCTTCGACCAAAGTCTTGAGTTCTTCAACGGCCTCGAGTCGCTCTTCTCGGTCGATGGCCGCGTTGGTGCTCTGAAGCACAGAAGAGGCGGCCTCTATTCCCTTGGAAATGTCACTTCTCCGGCCCTCGTCAAGGTCACCTTTGTCACGAAGCTCCTATTGAATGATTAGCGTGGTAGAAGCGAGATTTCATCAGAAAGCATACTTTTAGTAGTAGAGGATACTTAGCTAAGCGCTGAAATGGCTTCAAGAGGAACGAGGTGAGATGCGTAGGCGACTCTACCATCTGTTGCATTTCTGACGATCCGCCCGTTTCCCTTAGTTTGTCGAACTCGCGCATGGCGACCTCTTCGCATTTCTTCTGATTCGCAATGTACGGCTCATACACTTTGAAGGCATCCTTGTACAAAACAAAGAGGTTACCCCAATTTTGTTCGTCGGCCGACATGGCATTAGTTTGCTCCACGCGGATTAAGAATCGACGCTGGAAGTCCAGAAGAGCATTTAAGTTTAAGAAGATGTCATGAACACTGTCTCCGGTGATGACGCCCTTCTCTTCAACCAGTTTCTTAAAGGATTGCAAAAGCTCTAGATGCTGGACGTATGTTCGCTCTGTTTTCACCAACTCATCAATGATGTGCTCTCTTTGCGTCCTCTTGATGGTGGAGGTTGCGGAGGCACTATCGGCTGTAACGACTTCGGTGTTGATGATGCCCATCTGTACTAGGATATCTAGCACGCGATTCACTACATTGGTGACCTAGGAGGGGGGGAAAGTTAGCATGAAGTGATGATGAGCATTGGGTCATAGTGGTTACCTTGACGAAGCCGGTGGTGTCGTCGCCATACAGGTCGCTGATGATGAAGCATTCCTCGGACAGGAACTTGAGCTCGTTCACGCAGGCCTGGATGAACTTGTAAGATGCAGCTTTGGCCCGGGTCTTCTCGTTGACCCTTGCTTCGTCCACGCTAAGCTGGACCTTGGGGCCTAAGGCATTATAAATTTCCATCAGCGGATATCCGCGCCGGAAGGTCCTCCACAGCAGGGTAACAGGGTCGGCATCGTCATCGGCTTTGCTCTCCTCCTCGATCATCCATCGCTCAAAGCCTGGAATCGCACGCAAGCGCTGGTGGAGGTTAAGACATCTTTGAAACAGCGAGGTGTCCTTGTCGGCCCGCTTGTTGAGGACATTGTTGGAAGCTTCGACAGGGCCGCCGTTAACGGGGGTCGAGGTCGGGAAGACTGGTGGCTGCTGGCCGCCGAAGAGGGTCGAGGTAGAGGTGCCCTGTGTCGACTGTGTGTCCCGCGAGGTGCTGTGCGAGTAGCTAGAGTACTGGCTCTGATAGCTCTGGTGGCTGTTGGCGTGCATCGGCCCGGCGCTCGAGTTCATACGAGAGTGCGTGGTAGTCGAGGTGGGAGAGGGGTTGTGGGTGTGAGCTCGCGCAAGTCCGGAGTGAAAAGCAACCTCCATGCTAGTAAGTCATCTCCTTTGGTCGCAGGGTCAGGCAGGGCTTGACGGTGGCGCCAGAGCGCTTGGACGCTGGCAGGGTCTGAGGGGTGCAAGCGATGGTGGTGTGCGAGCAGTGTGGCAGGGGGCGACCCACGACAACGGCAGCGACGACGGTGGGCGGGCGCGATATTCGCAGATGACGAGCAGCACAGTCACAAGGAATGGGCGATGGAGGTGAGGCTGGGCTGCAGTGTGCGATGTGTAGTGTGGATGTGCAGGTGTGAGTGTGTGGGAGCAGTGGGCTGGCGGATGCACGATAGGGGTGGTGCCGTAGGCTCGTTTCATCGCATCGGCGCTCATGCGGCCTCAAGGCTAGCCCCACGTGACCCCGCAACCGAAGGGGGGGGGGCGGCTTCCAGCCGCTCAACGAAGCCCAGTCGTCGCCCTTTTTAGCCGCATCGCAGGCAGCCTGAAGAGACAACTGCCAGTAAGTCTCCCGTACATGTTGTTTTGTCGAGAAGCTTTTCGTGGCTGCTACTTGCCGTCCGCGCCGTCGCCTGCACCAGCGCCTCTCCGCATTGCATAACGTGGTCTTTCGATATCGAACAAGGTGTTCCAGATCCGCGCACTGGCCTGACAAATGCGAACGTTTCAACACGAGTGCGAGGTCCCACGGCAATTCAAACGTTGCAAATCCTGCTCCAAAAGGAAGACGACTCAATACTCTTGCACTTGATCATGCAACGACCCGAGATCGACACCCTCCGGGCCATGAATTCAATGCACATAATCGTGTCGTCCTGCTCCGTGAGTATCGCCGCCCTAGCAGTGAGTGTCGTTGCTTTGACAGCTGCTGCACTGGGGATTATGTAGACACTACGCAGCACTTCGTAGCCGCAAAGGCCGTTTTTCGAGGTCTGACATGGTGGTTGGAGAACGGTGAGACCAATGCGGGAGTAGCTCCCGACAGGCGCTTGGCAGTGAATGGCTGAGCATCCGTCCTCCGCCAGAACGGGTGGCTCGGCAATCTCCGCCCCCAGCCTTAGGCGGCAACGACGACAACAACAACGCGGAAGCCGTGCATCGTGAACATCACGGTCTCTCGCTTTGTTGGTGATTGTACACTGCGAGGTCTCTTGTAGTCATTCTGGTCACCCGGGGTGCTAACCACACCACTTGCTCACGTGGGCTTGGACCGCTGTCATCCTCGAATTCGAGGCAACACAAAGGACCCCATCTCGTGCAGCCTTCCCAAGGCTCGCACGCCTCTCCTCCTCCTCCGCTCCTGGACCCGACAGACTCACAACTTCCTGTCCGCCACCGCCATTCACTCCCTGCACGACTGCGCAATATGGCCACCCCGCTCAACACTACCACTGCGCAATTTGCTGGACCCTCTTACCTACAGGCCATTCGGCCGGCCTCGTCCATGAGCGCGAACAGATTCGACGAGGGATATTCAGAGGATACGCGGAGCCAGAGTGGAAGCGACTCCATAATGCGAGCCGAGTTAAGGCTAGGCGATGGAATGGGGATAGATCATGAACTGCAATACCCGCTCCCGGACTGGGTTCTAAACATGAGCGAAACAGATCGCAGCGGTAAGCGCTTCAGATTTGATTCAGTTGCTCAGGCACAGAAACTGACAGCTCAGACTTTGCATATGCAATCCTCAGGTCTTTACGAACATCCTCAATCGCCGCAATAGTTGAAAAACTGAACCCTCTCCTCCACCTCGACCCCGTCATTCACCTTCCACCTGAAATCACGTTCCAAATCTTCTCCTACTTAACACCCCAGACGCTACTGCGGGCATCCACCTTATCGCGCACATGGCGGACTCGGGTCATGGACAGCCCTCTGTGGAAGGTATTGTTTCGCCTAGAAGGCTGGAACTCGAACTTTCCCCAGGTCCGCGCATTCGAAGAACGCCAGAAGATGAGGAGATCAGAAACAAAGGAGCGCAAGACACGCGCACGTGGGGCGGAAGAAATGGACTACGAAAAGCCAACAACCAAGAAGCGCCTTCGCGAGAGAACAATATTCGGTGATGGAACCTCGTCTGACTCCGGAATACACAACAGGCTTGAGCCTTTGTCTCTCGATGGCTCACGCGATATCCTCCCTAGCTGGGGCGAGCAGCACGGCGTTGTTGAGGTAGACGACAGTCCGACAATCAAGGTGGAGGATAAGATGGAAGGTATCGCATACCACGACTCATCCTCGACTACAACCCCTACTGCAGCGAGTTTCCGTCGGATGAGGAAAGGTATCAATCAAAATGACGAGCCTGCAATATCCCCAACAGCCCCTAGTCCCATGGACCCGCCCATACGACCCTCTCTCCTTCTCCCCTCTTCCCCGGAGCCCCGAATCAACTGGCAGTATCTGTATAAACAGAAGAGGCGGTTAGAGGACAACTGGGATGCTGGTCGTTTCTCCAATTTTCAGCTTCCTCATCCCAGTCATCCTACCGAGGCTCATACAGAATGCGTATACACGATTCAATATTCCGGCAAATATCTTGTCAGTGGCAGCCGCGACAAGTCTGTTCGGATTTGGAATCTAGACACTCTGCGCCTGATTCACCCTCCCTTGATGGGACATACCGCATCCGTTTTGTGTCTGCAGTTCGATGAGCGTCCAGATCAAGACATTGTCATTTCTGCTGGAAGCGATTGCCGTGTCATCCTCTGGCGATTCTCCACCGGGGAAATGATCAAGGAAATCAAAGATGCGCACTCAGAATCGGTTTTGAACCTCAGGTTCGACGACCGGTACCTCGTGACTTGCTCTAAAGACAAGACAATCAAGGTCTGGAATCGGAAGGAAATTTGGCCGACGAATGACGCGTACCCTTCCTCAACAACGAAGTCGAGTGCTAAATTTCCAGCATATATCATCAACATGGCGCATCATGTGGAAAATCAACACTTACACTTTAAGCCGCTTGAGCCGTATACCCTCTTGATGACCTTGGAAGGACATGGTGCCGCAGTCAACGCTATTCAAATCCTCGAAGGTCAGATAGTGTCAGCATCTGGGGATCGAAGCGTCAAGGTATGGGATGTGCGCACAGGTGCTTGCCAAAGGACCTTCTCAGGGCACAGTAAAGGAATCGCATGTGTTCAGTTCGACGGCCGGAGGATAGTCAGCGGCAGTTCTGACGAAACCGTCCGCATATTCGACCGAGCTACCGGTGCCGAAGTCGCTTGCCTTCAAGGGCATGCAAACCTAGTCCGAACCGTTCAAGCTCAATTTGGCGACCTACCAGGAAATGAGGAGGAGCTAGAAGCAGAGGCCCGAGCTGTGGACCATAGCTTTTTCGAGGCTCAGAGGAAAGGTCTTATCACGCAAGAGATGTCGCGAGCCCAACGCAGAGCGCGAAATGCAGGTTCCCGAGATCCGAAAGCCCTCTTCGCCTACGGGGCTAAGCTCCCCCCTGGTGGAGGCGGTAGCAAATGGGCCCGGATCGTCTCCGGCTCCTATGATGAGACAGTCATCATCTGGAAGAAAGGGCCCGATGGAGCTTGGGTCAAGTCAAAGATTCTCTACCAGAACGAGGCAGTCAGGGCTGCCGGAGGCCGCCCTCGTCGTGCCGTTGCGCCAAACCGCCCGAATACAGTCAACCAGAATCAACACCAGCAACAGAATGCAGGCAATCCTTCTGCTCAAAATGCGCCTCCTAACTTCCAAGCCCTAGCCCAGCAAGCCCAAGCCCAAGCCCAGGCGGCCCAGTCACTAGCACAGCAAGCCCAAGCACTCCATGCAGCCTCACAGACAATGCAGCAGGTCAATCAACCCCCTCCCACTGCCACTGTCACTGTCAACACAACTACGACCCTAAATGTAGCTACCACTGCAAATCAGATGGCTACAACTAACGGGCCAGCGACTGGTGGAGCTTATCAGCAGCAACAACCACAGCAGCAAGCCCAAGCCCCGGCTCCTGCTCCTGCTCCCAACGCTGGCCCCCATCACCACCACCACGGTACCCATCACCACCACCACCCTTTTGCCGGCCCGCTAAATACCCAAGGCACCAATTCCCGCGTCTTCAAACTCCAATTCGATGCCCGAAGGATCATCTGTTGCAGTCAAGATCCGACTATCGTAGGTTGGGACTTTGCAAACGGTGATAAGGAGATAATTCTCGCCAGCCAATTTTTCGGAGAATCGGGATAGATCAGATGAACTATGTACAATTTATTCAAACCGCCACAGCTTTTCTCGGGCTGGATGGAGCGAGTGGAAGTCGGCGGATCGGATACATAACGATCCAGCGCCGGTCAGTCTAGGCACTTTAGGAGTGCGCACAGTACCGAAGAGAAACCCAAAAGTTCCAGTACAAACGCGCGTTCGTAGAGAGAATCAGCTCCTCCGAAGGCTGTTTTCTTACCCCGCTCCGATACCCTTCTATCTTCTGTACTGGCTTTGAGACGCAGAAGCAAGACAATGCCGCCCTCGTCTAATATCCATATTTCCTTTGATCCCGCTACAACTCAAATCTCCTTGAGCCCTATCTGCTATGTAAATATATGTAGACAGCTTCCCGCGGTTTCTTTCCTTGCTTGCGTGATGTTCTAAGTAGCTTCGGGCGTGGATATGGACATAAACGGCGGAATCCACTTTTTTCTTTAGTAAACCACATTATGATGAATGAAATATGTACCTCATGACAAGCTGCGCCTGGTTTGACTTAGTGTTGCCGGCTGTGTTGTGCTGTTGTGATTTGGGAGACGGGTCAACTCCGCTCCCAAAACGGGCATCCTCGATACGTTCTCTAGTGTTGTTGCCCTCGGATCAATGAGACGGCACTCCGCTTTATAAATCTCATAGTATCCGTGCTTGAGGATGCAGGAAAATGTCATCGGCTGGATTTAAAGAAGTTCCGAGAGTATAGATTTGCCCAGGACTGGGGGAGGTCTGACCGGCTCTTTTTGCGGTATCTGAAATTAGGCTCAGAGGTAGCTGCAGAGCTGAGAACCTCCGGTCTTCGGAAACACCTACCCTCGTGTGCCCATGAGCTCGGCTCCTCTAGGAAAGATAATGGTGCCAACCTTAGGCTGACTACTGACTGCCTTTAGATGCAGAACTTACCTATGTTCTCAGCATACTCCCGCTCGGACTCACCTTACAGTACGTTGAACCCCTCTAGAAGAGAGCAAAATTCCGTCACTTAGAACTCCGCTTATGTGGTGGTCATCGGTGGGACTTTTTTTGGGAGCTTTTGTCTGCTTTCAGATGCGGCCAGAGATGTTCTAATGGCAGTATATGCCCTCCTCAGAACTCGCCTTACGGCACTGAGGAGACTATTTAGATGACAAAGTCGGCCACTCAGAATTCCATACACCGCGTCAAGAAGAATAAAATCCAGAAACCCGGAAACTCTTTGTAGCGCGCCGGCCGGTCAGCCTTGTCCACGGGTGGCGGTTGAGGCAGGCGCTCACGTGCCACGGAACGGATGACTGACATTTCCGCCTGCGCTAATATTTGCGTGGCAAGATGAGCCGGGCGACGGTTGAGGGAAGGATGGCCAGAGGTCTCGGCATCGTTCATTGGAGGCATGCACCGCGTATTGTACGGTGGCTCTTCGCTGGAAATTCTGCGACTCTTTTCGTCCGGATGACGCAGATGATGGATCGCTTGAGAGAAGCTTCGAGGGGAGCAATCACGATGAAGGGTTTCATTACGGGGCATTAATTGGTCAACCATCAAATTGCATGCTCGAAAGCTGAAGCAGAGCTTTTTATCCTGTTTGCAAGAATAGCGAGAAACATATGCTTTACAGGGCTCGAAACAACAAAGCAAATTCCCACAGTTGTTCTTTTGCATCTCGATTCACATCGCAATGTCCCCCTATCGACTTCTGCTTTTGGAAATCCGGGTCAAGGCAGCTATGCTTGGCGCCAAGGGGTATAAATATCGTCGTCCTGGGTACTGCAAATGAAGAGGCGGCCATTTGTCCAGGCTTCTGGTGCGGTGTTATTTATCGATGACGAGACTCCGGGAACCGCGTACTTGTCAGTCCCATCATCGGACAAAAATCTGCAAAGCGACTACCGTTGGACTGGAAGCTTTGCGTGTCGCGCAGCGCAGAATGCGTGGGTGGAGTTTTTTCGATGATGTTGTACTGGGGTGTGTCTGATTGGCTTTGTGATTGGTCCCGTCCTCACAGGCCACATCCTACTTTACACCTGGGGTACGTATCCTTTGCCCGTCAGAGGTTGCAACCGAGCTGGCGTGTTCGGAGAGCAGCCCATCCGCATCCCGTTGAATGCAGGCCAAGCTTCGGTCCCGCCGCCGGCCTTGCTGGAATCCAAGCCGAAAGGTCCCTGAGGTTGGCGACTTTTTTATCTCATCGCTGCTGCTGCTGCTTAGGTTGCTCATCTTCTCCTTCCCTTCGCACGTCGTCACTCTTGAGTAAAAGTTTTAATTGAGAACCCCCTTTTTCCATTTTTGTTTCTTTCTGGTCTGGACTGAGCGATCGGTTTGAGGAGCTGAGCAGCCGGGAAGATGAGCATCCTAGGCAACTTCACGGTCAATAATGATCGTGAGGCCACTCACGTTGGTGTCCCTGCACCGGACCAGGTTCCACGACGTCCATCAGTCCAACACCATGTCACAGGCACAGCAGACTCGGAAGCGTCGACAATTGCAGCGAATACCGAAGGGTTAAGAAACGCTCATCCAAACAATGAACGCTCGGACCCAAAAGCATCTTTTACAGGCACCACGAACCAGAACTCCGAGGCCGTAAGCGATCTGGATGACGACCAAGAGTATGCGAGAAGAGAACATGAAGTTCATCAGTTGGCGAGACGCTTCACGGAGCATTCGGTTTATTCGACTACGGCCCAGAACCCGTTTAATGCTCCAGAAGGGTCGGCGCTAGATCCGAGTGGCGAGCAGTTTAATGCAAGGGCTTGGTGCAAGGCGATGCTGCATCTGCATACCGAGGACGACAAGGCATATCCTTTGCGAACCGCTGGCGTGTCTTTTAAGAGTTTGAACGTCCATGGGTTTGGTTCTGCCACGGATTATCAGAAGAGTGTGGGAAATGTGTGGTTGGAGGTAGTTGGCCTGGCGAGGAGGTTGATGGGCGTTGGCCAACGCAAGATCGACATCCTCCAGAATCTGGATGGGCTAGTGGAGAGTGGTGAGATGCTCGTTGTTCTTGGGCCTCCGGGATCTGGATGCTCGACTTTCTTGAAGACGATTTCGGGAGAGACTCACGGGTTCGTCGTGGAAAAGAGCTCTTATATCAACTATCAAGGTGCGGCTGTCTGTACCATTCCGTTAAGACGAAGCTAACTATAAATAGGCATAAGTGCTAAACATATGGCTAACGACTTCCGCGGAGAGGCAATCTATACAGCTGAAGTTGATGTTCACTTCCCTATGCTTACAGTTGGGGACACACTATCATTCGCGGCACGTGCACGAGCACCCCGCCATATCCCGGGAGGAGTCACCAAGTACGAGTACTCACAGCACATGCGAGATGTCATCATGGCAATCTTTGGCATCTCCCATACTATCAACACGCGGGTTGGCAACGACTACATTCGTGGAATTTCCGGCGGAGAGCGGAAGCGTGTCAGTATCGCTGAAGCAGCACTCAGCAAGGCTCCCCTTCAGTGTTGGGACAACAGTACTCGTGGATTAGATAGTGCTAATGCTATCGAGTTCTGTAAGACGCTTCGGATGGAGACAGAGATTACCGGAACCACCGCCTGCGTCGCTATCTACCAAGCTCCTCAGGCTGCGTACGATGTTTTCGACAAGGTGCTAGTCTTGTATGAAGGCCGTCAGATCTTCTTTGGGCGAACTACCGACGCCAAACAATACTTCGTTGATATGGGGTTCGATTGCCCAGATAGACAGACTGACGCTGATTTCCTCACCTCAATGACGAGTGCCCTCGAGCGCGTCGTTCGTCAAGGATTCGAGGATCGGGTACCACGAACTCCAGATGAATTTGCGCAGAGATGGAAAGACTCTCCTGAACGAGTGCAGCTCATGCAAGAAATTGAACAATACGACCAGAAATATCCTATCGGTGGCGAGCAGTTCCAGAAGTTCAAAGAATCTAGGCGCGCGCAACAAGCCAAAGCTCAGCGTGTTCAGTCACCTTACACTTTGTCCTACTTGCAACAAGTGTCGCTCTGCCTGTGGCGTGGGTTCCAGAGGCTGAGAGGTGACCCCAGCATCACGTTTACCCAGCTCTTTGCGAACTCCATCATGGCACTTATCATTGGATCCGTCTTCTACAACTTGCAACCCGATACCAACAGTTTTTACCAGCGCGCTGCTCTTTTGTTCTTTGCTATTCTCATGAACGCCTTCGGTTCCGCTCTCGAAATCTTAACACTGTATGCGCAACGTCCAATCGTCGAAAAGCACTCTCGATACGCACTCTATCACCCATCTGCAGAAGCTTTTGCTTCTATGCTGACGGATATGCCATACAAAATTTTAAATGCTATCACTTTCAACCTGGTTTTGTACTTCATGACCAATCTCCGACGAGAGCCTGGGGCCTTTTTCTTCTTCGTTCTAATATCCTTTGCCCTCACTCTGGTCATGTCTATGCTCTTCCGGTCGATCGCCTCATTGTCTCGAACCTTGAGTCAAGCATTGGCACCCGCTGCGGTTTTAATTCTAGGTCTAGTCATGTACACCGGGTTTACTATTCCGACAGACTATATGCTTGGATGGTCGAGGTGGATTGGTTACATTGATCCTGTCGGTTACGGATTCGAATCGCTCATGATCAACGAGTTCCATAACCGCCAATTCAAATGCATGAACTACGTTCCTAGCTACCCGAATATCGGAGGGAACAACCATGTCTGCGCGACTGTCGGGTCCGTTCCAGGGTCCCAATACGTCGATGGTGATAATTACCTCAAGACAGCATTTCAATATAGCCACGGACATAAGTGGAGAAATCTCGGCATTCTCTTTGTTTTCATGCTCGGCCTTATGTTCGTCTACCTCGCGGCTACCGAGTTCATCACTGCAAAGAAATCGAAGGGCGAGGTTCTAGTCTTCCGACGTGGTCACAAGCTACTAAAGACCAAGCCCGCGGATGATCTTGAGACTGCCGGTGGACAAGGCGTGGCCGTGGAAAAGTCCCAATCAGATGACATCGCTATCATTGAACGACAGACGGCTATTTTCCAATGGAAGGACGTATGCTACGACATCAAGATCAAAGGCCAGCCTCGTAGGATTCTTGACAATGTCGATGGGTGGGTCAAACCAGGAACCTTGACGGCGCTGATGGGTGTATCTGGTGCTGGAAAGACTACTCTTTTGGACTGCTTGGCTACCCGCACTACTATGGGTGTCATCACCGGAGAAATGCTGGTTGATGGACGTCCTCGAGATGAATCGTTTCAAAGGAAGACTGGCTATGTGCAACAACAGGATTTGCACCTGTCGACTTCTACTGTTCGAGAGGCCCTTATCTTCAGTGCGCTCCTCCGTCAACCAGCACATGTGCCTCGCAAAGAGAAAGAAGATTATGTTGAGGAAGTCATTAAGCTCTTAGACATGACTGAGTACGCCGACGCCGTCGTTGGTGTTCCAGGAGAAGGCCTCAATGTCGAACAACGTAAACGGCTAACTATTGGTGTTGAGCTTGCTGCAAAGCCGGCTCTTCTACTATTCTTGGACGAGCCTACCTCTGGACTGGATTCTCAAACATCTTGGGCTATTCTTGACCTCCTCGACAAGCTGAAGAAAAACGGACAAGCCATTCTCTGCACTATCCACCAACCTTCAGCCATGTTGTTCCAGCGATTCGACCGACTGCTCTTCCTTAAGGCCGGCGGTCAGACCGTCTACTACGGCGATGTTGGCGAGAACTCGAAGACGCTCATAGACTACTTCGTCCGCAACGGTGGTCCACCATGCCCTCCTGACGCCAATCCAGCTGAATGGATGCTTGAAGTCATTGGTGCCGCTCCCGGATCCCATACCAATATTGACTGGTTCCAAACCTGGCGCAACAGCCCCGAATACGAAGCCGTCCAAGAACATCTCGCCGACCTAAAGTACGAGCGCTCGCAACAAGTCAATCTGCAACGCACCGTCTCAGCCCAAAAGCGAGAAGACAAAGCAAGCTATCGCGAATTCGCCGCTCCGTTCGGAGAGCAGCTACGCGCTGTCACAATCCGAGTATTCCAGCAATACTGGCGCACGCCCTCATACATCTATTCAAAAACCGCGCTATGCGTCCTGTCCGCACTCTTCATCGGCTTCTCGCTGTATAATACGCCAAACTCGATGCAGGGACTTCAGAACCAGATGTTCTCGATTTTCATGCTTATGACAATCTTTGGCCAACTCGTCCAACAAATCATGCCGCACTTCGTCACCCAGCGTGCTCTTTACGAAGTGCGCGAGCGCCCTTCAAAAGCGTATTCCTGGAAGGCTTTCATGATCGCCAACATCACTGTCGAACTCCCTTGGAACACCCTCATGAGTGTCCTTATCTACTTCTGCTGGTACTACCCCATCGGCCTCTACCGCAACGCAGAACCCACTGACTCGGTAACCCTCCGTGGCGCCCAAATGTGGCTGTTCATCTGGACCTTCCTACTCTTCACCTCCACCTTCGCGCACATGGTCATCGCAGGCGTGGAAATGGCCGAAGAAGGTGGCAACATTGCTAACCTGTGCTTCTCCCTCTGCCTCGTCTTCTGCGGCGTCCTCGCATCCCCCACACAACTCCCCGGATTCTGGATCTTCATGCATAGGGTTAGTCCCTTTACATACCTCATCTCGGGCATGTTATCGACCGGCGTGGCGAATACAGAAGTACGTTGCGCGCCCAACGAATACCTCCATTTCGACCCCACGTCCGGCACCTGTGGGGAGTACATGGAACCGTATCGTGCAACGTTTGGCGGGTATGTGGAAAACGAACAGGCGACAGCAAATTGTTCGTATTGTCCCATGGGTGATACGAATGTGTTTTTGAAGAGCGTCAGCGCAAATTACGCGGATGCGTGGAGGAATTTTGGGTTGATGTGGGTGTATATTGTTTTTAATATTTGTGGCGCACTGGTGCTATATTGGTTGATTCGGGTGCCGAAGGTTAAGAAGGAGAAGGAGGAAGAGGTAAAGACGAGTGAGACCGTGGAGGAGCGGGAGGAACGGGAGGCCGGACATCAGGATGAGAGGGCGGGAAGTGAGGTTGAGGAGTTGGGGACTCGAGATGAGGGCGAGAAGAGTAAGAGGGCGAGTGAGGTTGAGCCTGGGGACGAGCATGAGCATGAGCATGAGCCTGTAGCTGCTGGAGGAGATAAGGCGGAGAAGGTATAGGATGGATGGATGGACTGTTGATGTGGTTGGTGGTAATACTTCGTTCTTTCCCGACACCTAGTGTCGATATTTCCTTAAGTCTTCGTCTCATCATAGAGCGCCTTTCTACGCAGGCATCAGTTACCACGACCGCCCTGGCACCATCTTGTCCCCATTTTCTATTTGTAAATCTTAGATTTGTATGTTTAACGCTAGACTTTTGAACAGGATTACCAAGACATTCATGGATCCTACAGCTCGCTCAAACATGAATTGTGAAACCTTCTTGCATGAAAACATTCTCATTAACCTAAAAGTATCAACCCTGTCAATCCTGGCTAAGTTTCCTCACATTCTAATATCCATCCCCCTACGCGTAGTTTCTGGTCAACGAAGGTTTGGTGGAGAGCTTTCACGGCACCGACAAAGACCTCCAGCGGCCACACATTCTTCTGCTTCTCGTCTACCCGTTTCAACATCAATACCTATCCCTGTCGCCTCTTCTCTAACTTCTGTCTTTAGGAAGCGAGAACCTGCATGCCAAGAAATACCCTAAATTTATATGCAACGCCTTTCACAGCTGGTAGAAGGGAAAGCTAGTAGACAGTATTAAGCCTAGGAGATAAAAAACAATCTTTCTTATTAAGGTACCCCCCAAAAATGCTATTTTAAAGCTGCTCTGACACCTGGATTTCGTCTGCACAAAATCCGAGCTAGGTACCTGTTTTGCCCGTCTATTCCCTTGAGGCTAGCAATTAGTATAGAATTGAGGTTTCCGAGACTAGGGAGTGCCCTGCCCCTTTCGCAAAGAATCTTTTAAGCACCTTCGTCCTACAGTACTTATAATACCATTTTTTTACACTTGATGAGCAAGTCTTCAGCTAAGCGCTTTAAATACACTTGTATTATCATTACTAGCCTTGCTATAAACTTTACCCCGAGCGTACCACAACAGAGACTTACGGGCAATGTTGAAGTTCAAGTGATTGTTAGCTAGACTGTTCTCAAACTCTATTAGCCAATTTTTAGGTCATGTATGATATGAGAGCTAAGGCTTGGCTGAACGCTCCAAGAGTTCTAAACTGGTTTTCTTACTACGTTCGTTTCTACAGTATAGTTATAAAAGTAGTAAATGTAAGGATTAGCCGAATATGAAAGTCTAAGGGGACTTTGATGCATGCCGGAGCAAAGGCGAATACTAGCATTGACAAAGTTTATTGTACTACTCCACAGGCTTCACTGGCGGCTGTCTCTCGAGAATATTGAAGTCCTGCATGATGGGTCAGAGTGACAAGAATAGTCCGAAACGGAGAAGGCTTTGGTGGAGGAAGTGCTTCAACGTCACGACACAGTGAATGAAACTTGGTTCATAGTTGGACAACATGCTGGCCACATATTTAAAGCATTTGATTCCGATATTCACATCCTGGTGGCAGCATATTTGTAAAGAGCTAAGACCAAATGGGCTCTTACCGGATGAGTCTCCTACTCTTCCCTACGAACACGTGGGGTATTCATGCATTAGCACCCAAGCCTTGCGCCACTCCCCTTTTCCCGAACCCTCCTTCCTCATCCTTCCCCAATAAAAGCAAGGCGGAACCCTTCCGACCCATGCTCTGCAAAACATTGCACACCGCTGACTAAATACCAGGCTTCCAGACTTCGAGACATCGGATCCGATCGGGCATTATGCGCCTCGTCCATACATCCTAGATATACACACGCATGGATATGACGCACTTACGGACGTACGCATGTACCCCTCTTCCCACATGAAGCCCTCATCGGAGAGTGGGGCTAGCGCTCCAGCTGCTTCAGAAGCGTTGGGGAAGTGAGGCGGAGGCGGGGATAAGGCGAGGGGAAGGGAAGAGAGCGAGTGAGGGTAAGGTGGAGTCGACAAGCAAGGTACAAGGAGGCAGGGAGTTGGTGAGATAGCAAGAGGAGAAGTTAGAGGATGTGACTGTGTGCGATGGCGAATAGTTGATATAATGGAATTGTGCTAACAATGGTTATCTTGGCGAAAAATTTGTACTTTGAGGGTTGGAGGTTTGGTGGGAGAGGGACTTGAATCAGAATTTAGATGAGATTTCCGTCATAAGGTTACTGGGCGATATACCCAAGGCAATGGCTGTGGGTTTCTCGCGCTGAAGCGTTTCTCCAGTTTCCAAGCTCAACGTGTCTTTCCTCGCTGCTTTGGTATGGGATCGGATGACTGACCATAAGATCTTTGATTTCTTACTGGCATCCATCTCATAACGAATAAAAGTCCCATGAGATCTTCAAGACACCAGTGCATCTTCCTTATTTCCGAGCACAAAGTACAAGTATACATGAGTTTAAAGTCATCTATATACAATCATCTCAATAACATCATACATGGCTATCTTCGTGAGCGGGAATTGCCGTGGTTCGCTTTTCAAACGCCGGTTGAGAGACTAAGTTTGTTGCAATTAGGAGAGATTGGAGGACAGGAAGTGTTGACGGCTAAGACGCTATGGAGAATACTCATAGAGTATAGAGGTGTGTTCGTATGAGAGAAGTTGGGGGACCTGCTGAGTATTGGTAGTCAAAATGCTTGGAGAGCGTTCGGACAGGGTAGAGCCGTGGTGTTGTTGCAAGCTGTATTCTCGTCGTCATTCGCAAGTACCACACGAGCCTTCTTCAACATGATGATATCTCCGAAGCGTCGAAGACGACGAGATCGAGTATTCGGCTCGCCGATGAAGTCCAAGGCAGACTCCTCGACTCGTTCGTATCGTGTTGGTGGCGGCAGTGTGGTAAACGCCCACCTGATTCGTACGAGGCTCGGCCGAGGACGACGCATAGGTAATAACATCAACGAGATGAATACCAGATCTTCCGGACGGCGGTGTGGTTATCTCAAGTTCCTTCACCCCTTCTATCGTGAGGCTCGGAACCCCCGGAACAACGAAGCTATAGTAGTCTCGCACAACAACAACCAATCTAGGAACTTTCCCGACTCGCAGAGCGAAGTAAATCCGAGCCTTCGGAAGCGGGATCATTCAGAGTGAAAGGGTCGGGGGTGCTTCGGCATCGCGCGGAACGTTGTTCCGTTGGGTCTTGATTCGTTGATTAGATAAGGCAGGCCATGCATTCCTTGGTGGGTTTGGTGCAGGTCGGTGCGCGGCGCGCCATTTGATTCCTCATGCATCCAAATCACACGACCGCTAGCGTCGGTGCGGCAATTTTTCGTGTGTTCACCGGCCGGCCGGGCTGGCTGAGGAACAACATGTGGTGGTAGATGGTTGACGCAATCCAGAGTGGCGGAGTTCTGCATGTGTTCTGCGTTCTGCGTTTGCGTTTCAGGAGGTTGAAGATCAAAGGCCTTTCACGGCCCCCAACATCCAAGTGGATGTACCAATCAAGTCCGGGCTCGTACAGGTCGCCTAATCTGTCTTCGGCGGAATCAAAAACACGGCGTGGGTTGATAGGAAGGTCGTCGCGTCATGGGTGTCAGATGAATACAGAATGCTTGGAGTGATTGAAGGACAGTCTTTGACCTGTTATGCACTGTTGGTGGGTTAGCGAGTATATAGATAGAGTGTGAGGTGGCACTGCAGGTTTCAAGGCGACCTGAACCGTTGGGTTGCGGGTGCAGATGCGAGGAACGAGAGGGCCTGACTGACGCTTGAGATGCCTTGTGATTGTCCTGTCGTCCTTCTACAATGTCCATATGAACCCAGAATGAAGAGATCCGCATTTGGAACCGGTTCATGAGGCTGTTGAGGCGGGGTTGGTAGTTGTTCAAAGGCTTGTTGTGTGTGCGGCGGAGTGAATTGAAAGTCTTCATGTCCGCCATGTAATTGAGGTGCAAAGTCTACGCTAGGTATCCACTGGGGTACATTCCATGATGCGAGATTCACCTGCGCCGGGTGTTCATAGATTGGAGGGTTCCAGGCCGGCTCGATGTTGGCAAATGGAGGTGTCGTAGCTGCAGTCGTGAGGAGGTGGTCATCGAATGTTGTCGTGGTTGCCAGCACTGGATCTATTACATTTTCGCTGGTTGACGATAACGAGTTGAACTCGATATTTGAAGAGAATACTCGATCCAGTATCGGTCCCGGGACGTGATATTCGGATGAGATAGATCGCGTGCGCGCTTCGTGGCTCGATTTCTGAGCCTTTGGAGTTAGTTGATCTGTCGAACCTTGATCTCGAATAAGTTGCTGCAAGTATTGCAGCTTCCTTTTGCGCTTTTCTCCTACAAAGACTCTTCAATTACTTTCCTGTAATGTAGAGGATGCGAGCTGACGAGAATGCGAACTCACGATAATTCCTAGAAGCTATTCGGTTCTGCTGCTTTCGAATCTCACTATTGACCTTCCTTGGTTTCTGGCCCGTTGACGGATCAATTTCCACGTCCCGCTTTGGTTTCCTTCCAGGTCGTGACGAAGAGGGTTGTTGTTGAGTAGTGGTCGATGTCATGACGCCAGCGGACGATGAGACTCTTGAAGTGAAGTGACGGTGTGAAGTGGAAGCAATGGCAGGTGAGCGCTTTGAAGAACTTGATTAGTGAAATACGACCTTGGCAAGGTTCTCTATTCAGGTTTATACCTCTTCAACCATCGAACCTCGGAGATAATTACTTACCTAGAATAAGAGCAGCTGCCTTGCGAAGCCCTTTTCTTGGAAGCTGAATAATGAAGACAAGAATAGCAACCTAGGAGACAACAAACAAAGGTAATGCTCGATCCCAAACGCACTTAACCTTAACCTTAATTCTGCAGCGGAACGGTTCTGGATCAGGGGCGTGCGGTGTCGAGATGCAAGTGTTTCATTCGTAGTCTTTTCTCCTCTCAAAGGCAATGTCAGGCTGTGACCGGAGGGTCGAAGTGATCGTATTAACATATACCGGAATAGGCACGCTAATCCCCCCAAGTGATGGCTTCAGAGATGAATCATCAGGGTTGGGGATGCTGGCCGAACATTCGTCCGAAACCGCACTCACGTGATGGGAGGCAGGTTGGGAGCGATGTTCGCAAGGGGCGGCCGGCCGTCCGCTCTGCGACGCGCATGATGCCGTTTTGCCGCTGTGGCGGAAGGAGGAGATCGTGGAGCCTTGTGGGTGGTGAAGGACAGGGTTGACGAGAGCTTAGGCAACTTACGGCACGACTAAGCCATTTTAGGGTACTGTTCGACACGCCTGTCGACATGCCGGGTTGAACGAAGATGCTTAATTTCCATGCTTGCTTGAAACGCTGCCCAATGATCTGACGCAAAAAGCTTACACACCCCTCACCTGTTTTACCGCCGATTCTGTCCCGTCACAAAGTGATTCAAAGCTTCGCGAATGGAAGTTGTTGCTCGAATATCTTCATCCGGATGTTGTTCGTTTAGCAAAGGACTTACAGTATCTCCATTTTCCCTTACCATCCCTTGTGTCGACAATGTTAACTCCACCGTGGTTCTCGAAACTCCGAGAATCATAGCTAAAGACAAGAGCATATAACAAGATAATGGTCAGTGTGGCAATGGATTTTCAGATCAGTCATCGAATATCTACGACCTGAACGCATATGCTAGCTGAAATTAATCTGCAGCGTTGAGACTATTTGTCACAAATTCCGACCGCCTTCATGTTTCACCGAGGGACCGTGTTTTCCTCCGATAAGGAGGTCATGCAGTCAGTGCTCAAGCGTCAGGTCGAGCAGTCAGGGAAGTTCCCCCCGGATTCGACTGCGGAGAGTGTAGCGGCAGTGTTGGCAGACGAGATCACTAGTAAAACAAGTAAGAATCTTACCTCTTCACTCAATGTGGGACTCTTGTGATTAACCCTGGAATCTGTAGTCATCATCACTGGCGTGTCCCCTTCAGGTATGTGTGTCCAGATGCTCGGCTGCATGCTGTCGCGTACTGTGGAACAATACCAAATAGAGATGAGATGATCTATTCGCACCTATTTCTGGGCTCAGAGAAGAAGTCAAGATGTTGCAGGCTCCTGACCTTCAGGTAATCCAAGCATAGTCTGTCACATGTGCAAGCCTATGGCATTGCATTTTAGCATAGATGACTAGAAAAGGCAAGGGTTTTCGCTGAAGGTAGAGGCTGCAGGTTTTTACAAAAAGTTACTTCGTATTAGGGCTTGACTCAGTTCCAGCAATGAGTTTCAGAGATCCATCCGCCGTGCCTCGGTATCCGTAGTGTGCGCCAACATGCTGTTGGACATATACTTAGATGTTGGGCGCAGCTAACACAATGGTAGGCCTTGGAGCTGAGGCCGCCCGTGTCATATTCAAACACAACCCAAAGCTCCTAATCTTAGCAAGCCGCAGCAAGAAGGCGATTGATGATACAATCGTCGCAATCGGAGGCTCGAGCGCTTCGAAAAACGTCAGAGCCGTCGAATTCGATCTCTCTGATTTTAAATCAGTCAGGAAAGCGGCAGAGGAGATTCTCGAGACTGCGCCAGCGGTAGACGTTCTCATCAACAATGCGGGCATCATGAGTAAGTCGTCCCCGGGTTGAGCGTTTGAAAGGTTAGAAATAGGCTGGTGAGTCGAGGGTTGATCATTCCGTAGTGTTGCCGGAGTTCAAGACGACTAAGCAGGGGAATGAGATGCAGTTTGGGGTCAACCATCTTGGGCATTTCCTCTTCACCAACCTTCTCATACCATCTCTTCTCCAGTCTCCCGCTGGTTGCGTCGTCAACATCTCAAGCGCCGGACACCGAGTGAGCGGCGTTCATCTCGAGGATGTAAACTTCAGTGTGAGTCCGAGAGTATACTGTAGCAATGATCTCCTCGCTAACATTTGCCTGAACTGTAGAACGGAAAAACCTACGAACCCTTCATAGCCTATGGACAATCGAAATCCTCCAACATCCTCTTCTCCGTGTCACTGACGCATAAGCTTGGAAAGAAAGGACTACGAAGTTTTGCTGTCGATCCTGGTGGTAAGTGAGACATGCCTGTCCTTATAAATTCTAACATTTCTTGAAGCCATTAACACCACGGGCCTCAACCTCGGTATACCCATGGAGAAGAAGATAGAAATGGGTGCATCCCACTATGCCACCCCTAAGCGATTGACTTAACTGATGTGGTGTAGGATGGTGGGATACGGATGGAACTCCCTCGGCGAATATCCCGGTCCACAGTAGGGGAGGGAGCATCATCTTATATTGTCGCAGCTTTTGATAAAAATATAGCTGGTAAGGCAATGGAAACCGAATGCCATAGGAGCCCGTACTAACTCCCTCCCAGGGCAAAGTGGCAGCTGCCTTGCAAAAGCTAACATCGATCCTACCACTGAGGCTCACGCAACGGATCCAGAGATCGCTGAAAAGTTGTGGCTGCTGAGTGAAAAACTGGTCGGGCAAGAGTTTCATTACCAATAGCTCTATCCCATATGATCGATTCGAAAGGGTGCGGGGAGGACTAAGGCGACGAATTGGCCTTGGAAGAATTCATCAGTGATAATATTACCATAGGATACTAGAGCATACCAATCAAATTTGCTGTCCAAATCCTTTCCTATATGCTAAGATACAAATCGGAGGACTCAATATGAGACTATCCATCAAACTAGTTTCTAGATTTGTGTTCATGTTTCAAGGGATGCGCTGCATGCACAAATTCGGGCCCGCTTGGAGTCCTGCATTACTTATCGTCCCAGACAGAGTGCAAAAGAGACTCCGATTCCTGAACTCGAGGTGTTGATATGATACCACGATCCAGAACTTCCATCCGTTAGTAAAGATGCGCTTTCTTCAAAGCTGAGTCGCTCGCTGCCTAGTTTCTGGCCTGCAATGCTCTACGACTATGCAACCCTGGAATGTTGTAATCTGTGGATACACTGGTTGGATCCACAAAGTATCCAAGGAAGAGGAAACACTAACTTGTCATTTGAGATTGATCTCAGATACCCCGGCATTTATGTTCGATGCCAAAACAACGAGAACTCGAATCTCATGCGACCCGAATAATGGAATGTCAGAATTGCCATCTGGAAGTGGGCGACGGAAATGGCTTCGCTCAGGCACTTGGGCGATTGAAACGGTTCGGAGGGCGCCGGAGAGGTCCTTTTCACACCGGGAAAGGTATGTGAGCTGCAAGACCTCAGGAGAGCATCAACTATTGAGATCACGTGCCCAAGCTAACCTCGGAATCGATCTGCCCCTGATCCAATCCGTCGGGTCGCTTGCATGACCTCACATCACAGGAACTAGAGCTACGGATCCGGAGTTGGCTAGAACATTGCCCCTCGATCCAATCCTTTGATCATGGACAACTATCTGCGCAATTGCGATGTCAATGATCTATTGGCATTTTCTCCCGAGGAAGAAATGTCTCGTCCCGTTCCCGCTGTCTGTTGCGCCGCATTGGTAGGAAACACAATCCAAGCGCCCTCGTCCCGCAAGAAGAAAACCCTTTCTCTTACAGAAACACTCCAAGCTTCCAAGGGACGCTTTCCATAATCGTGACTCGATATTGAATCTGTTTTGGGCATTTGATCCTTGTCAATATTCTTTTCCCACTTCAGCTCCCTTCGTATTCCCTCGTGGCTACCTGGATTTTCCGGAAATTAAACCATGTCAGGAGATTTCTGGGGACTAGTACCCTCGCCTAACATCATTTTTGGGCGTGCACTCGCTGGGAAGCGCTCATGAGCTGTTTTAACGAGGGACGCCTTCGCTCCTCTTTCCCGCAAGCTGATTTAAGGAAACGCCCTCGCTCCGCCTGGCCGCCATGATGAATGTTTCCGCGAATGACGACGCCCGGCCCTCGCATGCATGACACTTTGACAACCTTTTCGAGTCTCTCCAAGACGCCGAATTAAGGTTTCCTCATACCCGCCAAGACGAAGAGCCCCGTCGCTAAACAAAAGAATAAATATTCTCCTGAGAAGCGCGTCGAGGCTTGTTGAGGCTTGAAAGATGTGTAGACAGGCATTTCCGAAGCGATCATGGGCATTGAGAGCGAGGAATATAATACTGCCATGTCCTTGTGTTAAGTTACTCTTTTCCTTTTCTCATCGCTCTTGCAGTTTACTCTCTGCAGTCTTTCGTTAAGCCGAGGCAAGCTTTGTCTCATCCATTCGTTATCATCCTAATACGCAAATAAAACTATCTTTAATACTAATTCTACTACAATAATGGCCGCCTGCCGATTTGGGTCTCCGGACCTGGTGACTTCCATTACTGGAACCGCTGCAACACCAACGTTTGCTTTCGATGCTACTAACTCCAATTACTTTGGGTTGGTCGGTAGTTTCACTTCCACTAGTTAGTATATTTGAAGAATAAATGTTTGTTATAAGCTGATCGCCTTCAGACAACGGGGCCACCTGCTCGTTCCCTACTCGTTCTGTGGGGGGTGGGAGGACGTCGACCTATGCCATCACCCCAATCATCGTTACGACCAGTAACTTTATCGGAAAGACAACAACCTGTGACCTGCTTGCTCCCCCATCGATCATCTCTGCATCTGGTGCCTCCACTACCTATTCCGGCATCAACTGCCCTAGCGTAACCGACAACAAATTTGCGCCCGGAACCTATACTCTTCGGTTCTCCCAGCCCAATGTCAATGGCGTTCCAGATATTACCTCGAGGGTATTCATTGTGGCCTCGCCGACATTTGTTACCGACCACATCACCGCGACTGTGATCCAAACAGCTAGTGCTGCCGCCATCCCGTCATCAACCACCACGTAAGCTTCCTTGGTGGACCAGAGTTCTGGTCCCATGGTAGACTAACAATGAATTAGGGTCACCTCGTACTCCTCAACTGTCACCGAAACTCCCACCCCTGGCGCCGATCAGACTGTGACTGTGACCGCTTGGAACTCCGGCGTCGCTACTACAACTGTTACCGATATTGTCCAGTCTTGCTCCCCAAGCAACATCCCGACTTCTTCAGATACACAAATTTCGTCTTCAAGCTCGGCCGATGTTCCATCTTCTACCCCAGCAAGCTCAAGCGACAGTTCATCTTCCATCCCTGCAAGCTCGAGCGATATTCCATCTTCTACTCCCGCTAGCTCCAGTGATATTCCATCTTCCACCCCCGCAAGCTCCAGTGATATTCCGTCTTCCACTCCTGCAAGCTCAACTGATGCAACGCCAACGTCCACCTCCTCTTTTGTCAGCAGCACACCAACGCCTAGCCTTGTAATCTCTCCCAATGGCGAATGTGGCGCTGCATCAGGACAGACTTGTCTCGGCTCAACCTTCGGTAACTGCTGCTCAGCCTATGGATATTGTGGAGCCACAGATATATACTGCCAAGCGGCCGAAGGCTGCCAAGCCGGCTTCGGAGACTGCATCCAACCGTCACCAGTCTCCAGCAGCGCGCTCCCAACCTCCACCGTCAAGGTCTCGACCGATGGTCAATGCGGTGGCGCGAACGGTGTCTGCACGGGCAGCGGATTCGGAGACTGCTGCTCTCCTTATGGATGGTGCGGATCATCTCCGGATCATTGTGGTGCCGGCTGCCAGGGCCTTTTCGGCACATGTAACTCCTCTCCCAGCACTCTCGCAACAGTTACTGGAACTGCGCCTCAGCCTACTTCGACGCAAAAGGTCTCTCTTGATGGATCATGTGGCGGGACTGGAGGACAGACTTGTCTTGGAAGCGTCTTTGGCGACTGCTGCTCGGAGTATGGATATTGCGGTAACACGGCTTTGTACTGCTCCACTGGCTGTCAATCGGTAGGCTAATCACCTCAATTACCCATCCTTCCACTGCTAATACTTTCAGGCCTTTGGAACCTGCACCACTCCTGCAAAACGGTCCGCTCAGAAGCCTGCAAAGCGTGCCATTCTTGGCGTAGGACCGGACTACACTTATCCCCCCATCCCGCACAAGACTGTCACCGATGGTGTTACCCAGGCTGTGACTGTGACCCCTACCTCGGGTGTGAAGACGACAACTGTTTTTGAGATCACGACAACGACCCTGCCGGCTGTGTCGGGCAGCATTGTGACTGTGACGGAGAGTGCTGGTATTACGTACACGTCGACGGAGACGGTCCATGCCACAAGCACTGTTTGCGTTGCACCGATCCGAAGGCACTAGGGGAGAAAATGATGTTAAGTTTTAGGAGAGGAACGAGGGAAACAACGAGAAAGCGTAATGAAAATAGTGGGTCTACAGCATGACCATGAGTAATTCACCCAGGCAATATGTTTGTCGAAGATTGTGTCATGGGGCACGTACTTATATCATTAATTGTCCTTGATTATTTGAAGATGTACAGGACTGGGACAAAGGCCTGTTAACCTGAACCGTGAGCCCCCGCCAAAATCGCATCGCGTAACATTACCCACCTACTCTGAAACCCTACCATTTAACCATGCAACGCTCTTTTAACTAGGAAATCAGTGGGATTTTAAGAGGAAGCATTAATTTACTCCTAGACAGCGCTTAGCTATATTAGTTAAGTCCAATGCAGGTTTAATGCGGAAGGATAGTTGCTACCAAGTTTGCCTGCACGGAACAGTGTTCCACAACTGCAATTAAGAGATAAAAAAAAACACTACACTCTTAAGTTTCCGCCTTCCTCTAGACTTTCTAAGCTTATACCGTATTGCAAAAAAGGTATATTTATTTGTTTAGCTTAGGAATTCCCTAAATGATTTACACCAGGCCACTCAAGCCCCATAGTCCCGCAGTTTCGACCATGTTTGCAAGCGTTCTTCTGTGAGTCTACATCCGCCTAGGCTGTATGGATCTTTATTTATCTGCTATTTCAATTGCCCAAGCATTAGAGAACAAACAAGCCTTACGACTATTTCCATGCCTGGTAACCCCCACTGACTTTCTTTCCTGATCCATTGGCTCTGAGGCGCCTCCGTCTCTACTTAGTCATCACATCCTCACTTGTCAAAGGACTCCTATACTCCCACCTTTGAAGCATCTCCTCCTATCTAAGTCGCTCCCCACTACGCAAAATGCAATTTCAGGTACTCCATAAAGTCTTACTCACCGCAGACTTTTAAAAAGAGCCTTTAATTTAGGGTCACTAAGATGCAACACCCTATAGTTCTTTTCAGTCATCTCGCTTGCGTTACATAATCTTTAGGTTATATATGTTCAATTGCGGATGCCTAGTTAGCCCCAACCTAAGCCTTAGAGCAATTGTGTCTGCATTTAGCTTTAAGCACTTCTTACAGCTGTAGTGTGTAAGACCTTTCTGCTTAAAGAAGCAATATACCGTCTTTCTTAAAGTGGGCAGTGTTAACTCAGGGGGTCCACGTCCTCTATAAGCTAGTGGTACTATATTTACCTAGATACGAGAGACTATGATGATAGACATCAGAAGGGCCATGGGGGTTTAAGAAGACGATCTAATAGATTTGCTCGAAGTACTAGAGGGAAGATAGGTTGAAGATCTAGGAAAAGGCTCTATATTTCGACTCCAAAAACTCTTTTGAGTAGCCCAACCCACCGTACCGAAACCAACCCTTACTAAAAGGGAGACTTTAGATCCAGACAAAATTTGCTGCAGCAGGACTCATCCACTAGACCCAAGCAATACTCATTCGTTCGTCATTCATACGCCAACAGTCCAACGAAATCCAATTCCCAAGAAAAAGAGTGGTATAATGCAGTATAAAAGAAAGATTTGAAACAAATAAAGCTAACTCATCCCCTCGAGGAGCTTGCTAAGGTAGTAACAGTCCCACTCCTCGCCGGGCTCGCAATACCAGCCGTGCTTGTTTTACCAACCGTACTTGTCTCCCATACCTCACTCCTCGCTTTCCGCTGTTGGATATGTGTGATAGTCTTCTTCAGCGCTGCATATAGATGCTGGTTATCGCCCATATCGAGATCGACCCAGAAAGAGTATATGCTCAGCTTACTTCTATTAACATCCTTGAAACGGCGGAGGATGTATCGTCGAGCTGTGGTCACGGGATCGGTTCCTGGCTGATACTCCGGGAAGAAAGTTGAAAGTGGTGAGTGCTGGAGTTTCTCTCTGAAGCGGGTGAAGTTGTTGAGGAGGAGGATTATTGAGGATCCGGCAAATTTGGGAGAGTTGACCCAAGCTTCGAAGGTCGCGAAGTCATCAAGAAGGGCGCTTTCGTTGGGTTGCCCGAAGAATGCGCGGTCGTAGGTGCTCACGTCAACAGTGTAGACTAGAGCGGTGGCTCCTTCGAGTTGGTGCAGCCATCGCCTTCTAAACTGGTCCGGAATGTAGCCGTTAATATTGAAGAGGTGCACGTCAATTTCGTCCCATGAAAATCGTAGTTCTTTAATACCACCTATAGATTGGTTCAATCGGATAATGTCTGCTTCAGAGGGTACATAGTCGCGGTCGGATATCCTCTCAATCTCGTGTGCAAAGTAGGATGCGTATTGCGGGAAATCGATTTCAAAGTTCTTGACATAGATAGTAGAGAATGTATCGCTCTGCCATATGTTTTCGAGTGCGTGGACGGCTGCTGGGGTGATTGAGCCAACATTTATAGTTTCTACTTCTTGAAGCAGAACAGCAAAGTCCTGGTTGAGGTCTTCAGACAGATTGACGCCTGTGTCTTTCAGAAGATCGATTATGGCATGCATAAGGACTCGAACAGTGGAGCGCACTGCAAACCGGTACTCTATTCGCTCGTCCCTGGGGTAGCCTTCTGCGTAAAGGACTTTCATTTGTCGCATAATGAGCTCTTTCCCGCTATTAGCCATGCCGATGAGAACTAGCTTCGTTTCCCGGCGAAGGGTGGTAGCGTCTTCTTCTAATCGGCGATCAATTGCTTCCGAACGCATTGCGGCGGCTGCATCTAGGTAGTCTTGCTGAGTAGGCATCTGATCCTCTTCACCTTTGAAGAGCCGTAAGTAAAAGAGGACTCGGAGCCATTGGATGATCCGAGAGATGCGTGTCAGCGTGTCAATGCACCTGCTGTTCCATTTGGATCTTTGCACCAGGGCACTGAGCGATGAAGCATCCTCTTTCCTAATCTGCCTACTTTTATGTAGCAGGATTTTGCGTTGTGCAGTGGTATGGCTGTAGACAGTTAGGTTATGCAGGCAATGCCCGTGATCTGCGCTGCTTACCACTTGCAGGCCGCAAGAAGCAGATTCACAGCGTCCGTCTGTCGCTTCGCAACTTTCCTTAATCGATTCATCGATCTACCTGCTATAGCAAATTTTAACTTGATGGCCCAATCCGCGTTGTCATAATCCGGCAGTCGCAATTGCACGGTCAGCGCGTCCAGATTACGCACGAGCATTCCACACGAGGTCATCAACACGTTGAGGTCCATGAGCAACTGCGAGTGCATGTCGTTGATAGCAAAATTCATCCAGTCCTGCATCTCCCCAAGATTCGATTTGAGAGCTGTGAGTTGCGCAATGAGATTGATGAAGGTGCCATTCCCGTCCTTCCAACGGTCGTGGAGCTGACGCAGTGCGCTGATGGACTGCCGAAGCCGGTCAATGTTGGTGGCCACTGCGTTCATGAGGCCAAACACCCGCTTGTCGTCGGCCATGGTCGCGGACATTGCGCAATTGAGCGCCACGAAGTAGAAAACGCGAAAAGTGGAGTTGAAGACAAGTATCGCGGGGTGGAGACGGAGGTGATGTTGTGCATAGCCACGGAGACGGCGGCCTGGCGCCTAAGCCGGCCAATTAATCCGGAGGACTCAAATGACAAGGGTATCCAATTGAACACCGATTTGCAGCTTGGGATCAGAATGCTGACTCCAGCCAACATTAGTCTCTTCTGAAACATTGCAAGCAGTACGGAGTGCGCTAGCTATGTGGCTTCTTGGACTGAGTGGTGAAGCACATTTTAAAGAGAAGGTGATGATGGAACGAAGTTGGAGATGCACCGGCAACAGATAGCGAAGCGAGCGGTACCGTATTTTATCAGCTGACGCTCGGCCCCACCTGACGCACACCCCACCACACACAACTACTCCCCTCATTTTCATAACTACTACAGCTATAAGCATGAAATTTTAAATATAAGGAATTATATATATATTAAGCTAAAATATAGTGAAAATTTTTTATATAATAGCTTTAATTGTATAATATATAATATATAAATTTTTTACTTAAAAA